AAGAGGTACAAAAACAAAAAAATAAGTCTGCTGGAAAATATTGCACATTTTATAAAATATTTACCACCCAATTTAATATATCATTTTTCCGACCACGTAAAGACCAATGCGACCTATGCCTGCAATATCAAAATTCATCCGTTGAGGAGAAGCTTCTGATACAAGAACTATATAATTGCCATTTGGAAGAAAAAACCCTCAGTCGACAAGCAAAATATAACGATCGATGTAAAATCGACAATAATAATAAAGTAATTTTATTTGATCTTCAAGCAGTTCTTCAAACACCTAAAGGGGATACTTCAGCATTCTACTATAAAAGTAAACTCAATAGCTATAATTTTACTATTACTTCTTTAAACAAAAAAGTAGAAGGAAAAATTCAGGATTCATATAACAGTGTGCATTGTTATTTTTGGTCCGAAACAGACGCAAAAAGAGGTGCCAATGAGATAGGGTCATGTTTATTAAATTATTTTGAATATCTTTGTAGTGAAAGCAGAGCTACAGCTACTAATGATGAAGGCCTTGATCTTATACTGTATTCGGATAATTGTGGAGGGCAGAACAAGAATAAGTTTATCGTTACGGTATATCTTTACGCAGTGACACATTTGAATATAAAATCTATTACACATAAATACCTAATAAAGGGCCATACACAAAATGAAGCCGACAATGTACACAGCCTTATAGAGAAGGAAATCAAAAAGAATTTGAAATCGGGACCAATATATTCTCCCCATCAATATGTATCGATCATTAAAAATGCACGAAAAAAAGGTTGCAGGTTTATAGTTAATGAGTGTTCTTTTAATAACTTTTATAATTTTAAAAATCTACAAGAATGTTGGGGGTATAATTTTAGTAGAACCAAAGATGGGAAAACTGTTGTATGGAATGACATAAAAATGATTAAGGTAACAAAGGATACCCCGTTTTCTTTTTTTATTAAAGAATCATACAAACAGCAGAATTTTTCTGAAGTATATGTCCGGAACAGGCGAACTAAAATGTTGCCTTTAAACCAATTAACACTAGTTAAGGCTTACACAGGCAAACAAGAGTTGAGCGAGAATAAAAAACAAGATTTACGCGAGTTAATTACTAAGTATTTGATACCTAATTTTTATTCTGATTTTTATGATTCCATTCTGTAATGTTAGCTGCCAAGAAACTGATTTAATTTTTTATAATTTTAAATTATATAAATTTAATTTATAAGAAAAAAGGATTAGAAAAGGTTTGTGAAACCTTTGTGTTGAAAAAGCTGTTGGAACTGATTCAAACCAAAGCAGCCCAATCAAGTTTAATGTGAGACTGATTAAATTATGTCTTAGAATTTAATTACTTATAGTTTGCTAGTTAATTGGATAATTATTGGTATCAAATTAAAAAGTTCTGTGAAACTATTAATTATGTTAGTAAATACACATAACCAGATTCTATTAATTAGTTTTACAATGAAAGTGTATTTTTTAAGTTCTAGTAACATAAGTGCAACAACGTTAATAATTTTCGGAGTTTTAATACAAATTTGTCTTTATTGTTGATTTTAGTTTCCATTAAAAGAGACCAAACTGAGAAAAAATGTTATTATTTTTAGTAATAGTTTGACTTATACCTAGAAAAGCCAGTCGCTTTGTATGTGTGTTTAAAATTAAAATGACTTAAAACAAACGAAGCTGTTATACTTTTTAACGAATAACCTTTCATTTAATATTAAAAAGACCTAAAACTACATTTACAATTTTAACAGCCAGTAATATACAAAATAAATAATATATAATAAAAATTTAAACTACGTTTAAATCCTAATCTCATATACTTTGATAAACGCAAAAGTTAAACTGTACAATTATCATATTGCAACATTTATAGCTAGATAAACAGCCCGAGCTCTAATTGCAAATTGTTTTAAGCGATTTGCCAAAAAAGTGATTTTTTGAATTCAGTCACTTTAATACTAAGCGTGCGANAGTTCGTAAAGAACTTGTGTTACAGGTACCAGATAACGGAAATAAATGTAAGATTTTTATTATACACATACATATATTTAATATACATCCATAACCCTGGAAAAGACATTTATATTTATCATACAAATATCTTCCCTTGGCGGGATTCGAACCCGCGACCCCCTTATGTAGTGACCATGTCACTTACCACTACACCAGACGGCCGTTTAATGGCAACGATTGATTTTCTCGCGAGTTTGGGTGAATCTCTAATGCTTTTAAGGCAATATAGTCATAATAGGCTAGACTGCTTTATTCGTCGCTCTGATTAATAAATCACCAGATTATTAAGGTTAAAGTATTGTGAAGTAAGATCACACAAGTACAATTATATTATTATCGAGTCAACACTTCGATGTTTCGCTGTGCCGTCCTTACCAGATGAACGTTTATCTTTAATAGTGTGATTAAACTCGTATTTTGTGTCGTTATTCTAGTTTCATGACGGGCGCTCGGACTCTCCATTAACTAAATTGGTTTCAGTGAATTTTTGGGTTGTGTCGTTTTGTTCTTATTCTCATACAATATTTACTAATGTATTTTAGAATTGTGTTTGTTGTATGTCATGCGAAAAATAAATGTAGTATGGTTAACGAATAAGGATCAAAAGTTAAATCTATGTTCTATCTATATAATATATAAAAATGAATTGCTGTTCGTTACATGTCTCGCTAAAATTCGAGAACGGCTGGACCGATTGGGCTAATTTTGGTCTTGAATTATTTGTGGAAGTCCAGAGAAGGTTTAAAAGGTAGATAAATATGAAAATGCTCGAAATTAAATAAAAATAATAATTTTGTTTTCCCTTTGATGTGTCCCCCGTCGGACGGATTGCTTTTGTTTGTTTTAAGTTTATTTTATACAAAAGTTTAGGTCTTTTATTTATCGATTGAGGCCCAACGAAGTCTGCCGGGTCAGCTTTTTTTTTATTGCCCTTGTAGGCAGACGAGCATACGGCCCACCTGATAGTGAGTGGTTACCGTTGCCCATGGACTTCAGCAATGCCAGGGGCAGAGCCAAGCCACTGCCTACCGCTTAATACTCTCCACAAGTCTCGTTTGAAGAAGGACATGTCATAGCGCTCGGGAAACACCGTGGAGGGGAGCTCATTCCATAGCCGGATGGTACGTGGCAAAAAAGATCTCTGGAAACGCACTGTGGATGACCGCAGTGGCTCCAGGTAGTATTTCTATCAGATGTGAAAATAAAACTTAAGAAACGGAGGACCGATTAAATACGCCTAAAATAAGAACTGTGTGAATGACCAGCCAATTTATAAATGAAACAATGAACGCGAATATACGTTATTAGCATACAATAAAACAACCCCACTCCGTCTGGAATTAAATGCGCTTTGAAAAGATTTTTTGTATTTTTTTTTGTTTTCGTCTCTTGTACGATTGTTAAACACCGTATTAGTGTTGAAATATAAATTAATTCTGTTTAATTGGTTGTTTTCAGAAGAACACATTAAATGCGCGGTTTCTACGCGGAAATGTTTATAAATTGTTATATAATAACACTTTAGAGATTCGCGGAAAGAGATATGAATTTATCAGTACGCGAACGAAAAAACCCTGATGCATCGCGCGTTGGGCTTGCACGGGCTGTTACCATTGTCCTGGCTTTTTGGTAAGCAATCGTGCAATCCTTACTGAAATGTAATATACAATATAGGTGATCTAAAATTAACCTCATAATAAACAAGTGTCGTGAAAGGCATTCCTCAATTAGAGTCAACATAATGGACGAGGATCTGTTGAGTTTTTTAGTTTTTTTTTATTGCTTAGATGGATGGCCGATCTCACAGCCCACCTGGTTTTAAGTGGTTACTGGAGCTCATAGACATCTACAACGTAAACGCGCCACCCACCTAGAGATATAAGTTCTAAGGTAGCAAGTATAGTTACAGCGGCTGCCCCACCCTTCAAACCGAAACGCATTACTGCTTCACGGCAGAAATAGGCGGGGTGGTGGTACCTACCCGCGCGGACTCACAAGAGGTCCTACCACCAGTAAAAAACTAAAACACCAGTACTAATTTTTCGAATTAAATACATTCTTAACAAATGTTCACGATTGACTTCCACGATGAAACAATAACACGATGTAATAAAAATCAAACCCGCGAGTTTGATTGCAGCGATACTACAGTAATTTTTGTAAACATTTTTTGCGTTTTGCGTACTTTAAACATAATATGTATTTAAGTTTCCTTGAGCACGGTCTGTTCTTGGTCATATTCAGTAATAGCGCTTGAAATGCCATGTTTTTTATTGCTGAAAAAAATAAGATAAAGTAGGAGCGTCTTGTGAGGCCGCCCGTGTGGGTATCGAACACCCAGCCATTTCTGCCGTGCAGCAGTAACGCAAGAATTCGGGTCATCGTTATCATCGAACCCGTCGCTTGCGACGAAAGGCTCGACGAGTAAATTAACCCACAGACACAGCCCACTGAGTTTCTCGCCGGATCTTCTCAGTGGGTCGCGTTTCCGATCCGGTGGTAGATTCTACGAAGCACGGCTCTTGCTAGGATTCGTGTTAGCAACGTCGTCAAGTTTGAGCTCACCTACTAGCTAAGGTTAAGCTGAAATAGCCTCTCAAGGCTCTCAGCTAGGTAAGAAAAAAAGAAGCAAGAATTGACTAAAAAAGCACAAAAATCACCGATGCTTACAATTGTAACAAAGTACGACTCAACCCTAGTTCCGCATGTAACTTGATCCCCCCTTAATCCATTGAACATTTCAGTTGCTCTCGACGTTGTTTACACTCGTTTCGCAATCTGCAGGCTTTTGTACCGTTCGTTTTCGTAATGTTTTCAATTCATTAACGCGCGTGTAAATTGACCTATTAAACTGATTTTAACGTTTACGCGTATCGCTCGTAATGGGCAAGGTACATGTGCTTTTTGCGAATTAACGTTAGGGAGATTGAATGTTAAAATGTTTAAAAAAAAAACGGCCTTAAAGTTCCTAGAAAAAATTCACTGTACCTTTAAACACGATAATCAACTTGAAATATAAAGAGTTTATCTATATATTAATACGCGAAGCCAAAACTTTGTATCCCTTTTTACGAAAATTGCGCGGACGGAGGAGTATGAAATTTTGTACACTTATAGAGAATATAGAGAAGAAGTGCACAATGCTAATATTTTTTAAAAATAATGCATAAAAGATACATTAAATCAACAAACAAAACATTACACACACTACATACCATGTATTTGACGCACACACGCATGCATACTATTTATTGTCAAACTTTTGTTCTTGACGTCTGAGGTTAAATTGAGAATAGATTAAATATTGTTTGTCTTTGTTAACATTTTTTATAGTGGCGAAATTTGTGATTATAGAAGTATAAAATACAATCATAATAGTGTACAAAGTTACAATTCCAANTGATTTTAGTTTCCATTAAAAGAGACCAAACTGAGAAAAAATGTTATTATTTTTAGTAATAGTTTGACTTATACCTAGAAAAGCCAGTCGCTTTGTATGTGTGTTTAAAATTAAAATGACTTAAAACAAACGAAGCTGTTATACTTTTTAACGAATAACCTTTCATTTAATATTAAAAAGACCTAAAACTACATTTACAATTTTAACAGCCAGTAATATACAAAATAAATAATATATAATAAAAATTTAAACTACGTTTAAATCCTAATCTCATATACTTTGATAAACGCAAAAGTTAAACTGTACAATTATCATATTGCAACATTTATAGCTAGATAAACAGCCCGAGCTCTAATTGCAAATTGTTTTAAGCGATTTGCCAAAAAAGTGATTTTTTGAATTCAGTCACTTTAATACTAAGCGTGCGATATGCGCGCAGTCGCCTGCACATGTGTGTTAAAATAATTAAAGATTCTTATAAACTCGACACTGGCAACAATGGCATTGCAACAAACTACTTGCAATACTATAAAAAGAAGGGGAAGAAGAGCATCGCATGGCTTATATGAAAGTCGTTTTCATTAGATTACGAGTAAAAGCCGAGGCTTTTTATTTTGTACCTTATGACAATGATACTCACGGTGAGTCTGACAAAGGCTGTGTCTCCAGCCTCGCGGTAACGGAACTTGAGGCATGTGTGTTTTTCGATGTCTCTGATCCCCTCCTCGATGGCGGCTTGCTGACGAGGACCTGTGAAACATTTCAATTTATTATACTAAAAGAAATTCTATTAGACATGTGCGAGCGATTAATAATTATAATATTTACTAAACTAAATATATAAAATATATAAAAATTATTTATTTAATACTTTTTAGTTTATTACTTTTACTTTATTAGTTATTACTTTTTATTTATTTATTTAAATACTTTTTAGTTTCCATTTTTTATGCAGGGTGTTAACTAACTATAAAGGGTTAAATGGAGCATTAAAACGAGTCCATTCACAATATTTAAGAAAGGTAGTAACACATCCAAAAAAAAAATTTTTTTTCACTGATGTGTAAACCCTATTTCAATAAAATCAAAGAGTAAACTACGCAGAATGTACCTACATTTCTACCTAATTCGCGGAACGACAAAATTTTAACCTAACCTAACGAAACAAGGGAAAACCTACTTTTTCATAATAAACGTCCAATTTACAGAGAAGTATTGTAATATTCCGAGTTAGAAAGCATCGTTATTTTGCAAAAAATGTTGGAAAAAAACTCGAAACAGCTGTAGGATATCGATCGAGTATAAGCCAGTATAAGGACATTCTTGTATTGAGGTAGAAGGCATTTATCATCGATATATTACCACTTATGAATGAACAATAGAAAAACTAATAAAGTAAGCCATTATTAGGTAAAATTGGTATGTAAGTCTGTCTGTTATATAATCTGGTTCCCTGACATAACAGCTTACTAGGGTTGACAAATTTTTTGGCTTTGATAATTAATAAATTTTTTACGGGATATTTTGTAACACGTTATATTTACAATTTTAAACTTTTATTATAATACTGTATAGTGACAGGCGACGGAACAAGTAAACTATATAGTTAGTTTTAATAATGAATGCCATTTTATTTATTGACAGAGACGTCTAGAGACAGAGGCGTCTAGAGGGTCTCGAAAAAAACATCTTACTAATTTGAATTTAATACAAAAACTGTAGCAGAAGGTAAATCTTTAAAAAAGAAAAGAAATGTTATTAATTTATTTATAATAAATAACTGAAAACAAATCATGTACGATTATCAGGCCCGAAATTAGGCATCCCTGTGTTATAGGTACCAGAGTTTGACATACATACTTATATACGTTTATATAAATACATCTTATGATAATAAACATCCAGACAAAGAGAAAACAAACGTGTCCATCAAACGAATATATTGGCCCGATGCGAGAATCGAACCCGGGACCCTCTGCGTAACAATCAGGGCCCCTAACTGCTGCACCACCGAGACAGTCAAATTATAATTATCAACGGTTAATACGCTTAAATAAAAGTACGCTTTTCTTTCATCTCAGAGTTTATACGGATTTACGGTGTAAACACACACAACTAATGCTAGTTTTCAGCAAGACCGCGGGCCACAGCACAGTGTAGGACAAATACATACCAATTTTATAATTGAAAATTGAATTGAATATCAATGTCGTCGTGGCCTAAAGGATAAGACATCCGGTGCATTAGTATCTAACGATGCAGTGGTATTCAGATCCCGCAGGCAGCCAGCCCGCAATAGCTAGGTCAGCTAATTACTACACCACCAAGGCAGTTAAATTAATAGCGTTTTCTTTTTATTGCCCTTGTAGGCAGACGAGCATACGGTCCACCTGATGATGGGTGCTTACCGTCGCCCATGGACTTCAGCAATGCCAGGGGCAGAGCCAAGCCGCTGCCTGCCTAACGGAAAATAGAAGTACGCTTGAGTTTCATCGCAAAGATCATACGGACTTAGCATGGTGCCAGTTTTAGGTAAACAACTAGCGCTGGTTTTCGGCAAGACCACGGGCCACAGCACAGTGTAGCACAGCACAAATACACATCTTATCTTATATATTTAAACGAGCAATTCCCTGTGTATAAATATATATATATTCGTATTCGTACTGGTGGTAGGACTTCTTGTGAGTCCTCGCGGGTAGGTACCACCGCCCCGCCTATTTCTGCCGTGAAGCAGTAATGCGTTTCAGTTTGAAGGGTGGGACAGCCGTTGTAACAATACTGAGACCTTAGAACTTATATCTCGAGGTGTGTGGCGCATTTACGTTGTAGATGTCTATGGGTTCCAGTAACCACTTAACACCAGGTGGGCTGTGAGCTCGTCCACACACCTAGGCAACAAATATATATATATAAATAATCTGAATTTCGGAAACGATTTTCATAAAATTTAGTAGGTATACAGGGGATTTCGGGGGCGATAAATCGATCTACCTACGATTTATTTTCAGTAAATGTTGTTTTATCAATAATCTTTATCGATAATCTACTTAAACATAAACTTTTTTTTATATCAAAATCTTTTTAAAAATAACAATATAATATAAATGTGTAATTCATATTTAAATATAATTTCTAAAAAACACAATTTATCAAAAAAAAACCGGTCATCCTCTAGTTAATTTTGAAATCTAATATTTTTTTTTATAAAAGTTTATAATAATAAAATTCATAGCATAGAACCAGAAGACGGATGAAGTAAAATTAAAACACAAAAAAAAACCTTCCCTAAGGCATGTTGCAATCCCCCCGGTGAAGGTCAAGGGGCGACCTGAGGGGGTGAGGCCGCGAGGCGCGCTACCAGCACTCTAGCGCGCTGCCGTGGAGTAAATAGAGCGACTGGTCGACGGTGTATCTCGTCCCGACCCGGCAGGCTGGTTCTGGTCCAGCGGGGTATTCCGGGACACCAGCGGCACCGTCTGGGCGGCCCGACGGGCTGCCGTACTGAGACGGCCGACGTTTCAGAGCCTTCGATTCGCCTCGAAGGCTCCGTCGGCTGGGCGTCCTTGGGGTGAGCCGCGCCGTCTAGTTGTAGTGTTGACCGCGGTAGCCCCCCTACCTCATCCGGGTTCTGACCTCGGAGGAGATCGGACGTCGGGTGTAAGAGTGCAGGGGAGTCGTTTAGTGGGTGGGCCCTAAAATCCTTGGGCCCGCGGTCTGCTCACAACACCATGCAGACCGTTGAGTCTCACATACCCCGCGGGCCCCTTTTGCGCGGGGACCTCGTAGGAGGTTCGGCCCTCTACCCGAAAAAAAAAAGGCATGTTGCAATGGATATAGTACTGGAGAGGTTTAACCCTTAATAATAATCTTTAATGACATGATAAAAGAATATGCCAGGCTGACTCTACACAATGTGTTCTACCACCTGTGGAAGAGTCTATTTGTGAATACAATAAATGAAGTCGTCATGGCCTAAAGGATAAGACGTCCGGTGCATTCGTATCTGCAACGGTGTTCGAATCCCGCAGACGGGTACCAATTTTTCTAATGAAATACGTACTTAACAAATGTTCACAATTGACTTCCACGGTGAAGTAATAACATCGTGTAATAAAAATCAAACCCGCAAAATTATAATTTGCGTCATTACTGGTGGTAGGACCTCTTGTGATTCCGCACGGATACGTACCACCGCCCTGCCTATTTCAGCCGTGAAGCAGTAATGAGTTTCGGTTTGAAGGGTGGGGCAGGCGTTGTAACTACACTGAGACCTTAGAACTTATGTCTCAAGGTGGGTGGCGCATTTACGTTGTGGATGTCTGGGTTTCAGTAATCACTTAACACTCGGCGGGCTGTGAGCTCGTCCACCCATCTAAGCAATAAAAAAAATACAATTAGATACGTAATTATTTAGAAAAAATCAACCATAACATAGCTTAATGGAATAACTGTATGTTTGTACCGTGCAAATTTACAATGGGCATCTTACCAATCACGAAATAAATAATTAGCTAAAATAATGATACTATTATTAATTAGTCAATGCAAATCGCCATATCGTAATTTGCAAATTAGGTGTTTTGATTGTTATTCTCGTGGATAAGACGTATTATGTAGATTACCTTTTTGGTCGTCTTGGGTTGTAATAGAAAGTCTTTGCAAACACAAAAGTACACAAAGAAAGTTTTTATTTAAGACGAACAAAATATACAAAGAAGGAGAAAAATAGATAGTCCAAGCAACACAAGCGGTACACGAAACAAACAGCAAATATTATAAAAGGCGTAGAACAGAAAAGATAATACGGGATGCGCGCTCGCAAGTCAGATTTCGACTGGTGGCGGTGGATCGGTAAAAATGCGACCGATGTACTAGCGAAATATATCGCCGCCGCTATACTTCAGTTATCGCCTGACTTTGCTTGTGAATTTTATTTTGTTTAGTGTAAATAATGTTTTGTATGATTGTGTGATAAATGAATGTGTTGATATAAAATAAAATATGTATGTGTTGTTGTGTAGTGTAATTATAATAAAATATTATAAAATAAATAAATACATGTGAGTCACCCACAACCTTTATCATTATTACTGTTATTTAATTACTCACTTTATCAATCGATCGAAATCATTCGATTAACAGCGATTTCGATTCAAGCGAAAAGCAATTAACTAGCTCAGCGACACAGTTATATGTATGATAGGTATTTGATTTTAACCTTGTGATAACAGCAATCATGTACTTTAGGTTAGTAGTAAAATAAATTACAAAGTTTGCTCATTTTTACTGGTGGTAGGACCTCTTGTGAGTCCGCACGGGTAGGTACCACCACCCTGCCCATTTCTGCCGTGAAGCAGTAATGCGTTTCGGTTTGAAGGGTGGGGCAGTATATCTCAAGGTGGGTGGCGCATTTACATTGTAGATGTCTATGGGCTCCAATAACCACTTAACACCAGGTGGGCTGTGAGCTCGTCCACCCATCTAAGCAACAAAAAAAAAACTGTGTATCTGATTTTGAAACAGTTATACGAAAACATTTTGCATATAATGAAACTGTATGAGAGCAGTATATACAGGGTGTCCCAGAAGAATGGATAATCCTGAAACACCTCTTAGTAGAGCTATTGGGGACTCAAACTAAAAAATAAAAAAAATATTTCCTAGGTAGTACCCAAATTAAAAATAAAGAATAAATACCAAATTTCATTATTAAATTTTAAGTTCAGATTAACTTTTATTAAAGAACTATGAGATGTTTCAGGATTATTCATTATTTCTGGGACACCCTGTATATACATAATTATTAAAAATACAAAGTCATAATAATATTTATGTACCGAGGAAGATTGACCAGAATGTTTATAAAATACGGTACGGTAAAGAGAAGGGTCTCGATAGTTCGAATATGGAATTTGTAAACGAATACGTAGGTATACAAATTCATCCTGAAAATGTCGTTAGCGCGATTCAAACTATTCACCTACATTTTAAGGTTTATGTGACGAACATTCACTATCTAGTGCCCGCGGTTTTTTATTCCATAGTTAAATGCATTAAAAGTCCAATTATTTTAATATAACATTTGCAAATCGGCATATTTATTTAAACCTTCCTTTCGGTATTTACACAAGTATTTTACCAGTTTGACGCGAATTTATATTTCCGTCTATAATTAGAAATTTCAATAGAAGGATTGCGAAGATAAATTTGAGCAATAAGACTGCGTATTGTGTGTATTATTTTGTATTTCGGTTGTTTCTGTTTTCATGTGTAATAAAGTCTACGCTGTTCTACTAAGAAAACTCCCAGTGAGCTTGCTCTGATTTTTTTTTTTGCCTATTTATGGAATCCTCGTGAAAATCACGAGTCACAAGTTCTTATTAATGTATTTTTAAGTTTTGGACATCTTCTAATTTCTTTTAAATCTAGGAACACAGCTTATTTTTGAACCAGCAAAATCTAAAATACCATTTAATTTTTCTATTAAAAGATGGAATCGCTGGCGTTTTTAATGATGAGAGAATTATTCTACATTATGTATTTGTGTGTATTACCATGGTTTTTCCTGGCGTCTCAAACTGGAAACTATAATTTTAGACCCATTATTTAAAAAAATATCTCTAACCTACAAATCTACATTCCTTCAGTCGTGCTTCTCATGTATTAGGGTCCTGAACACTTTCATTCATGACAACGAATGACTATGTTGTGGAATCTCATCCTGTCTTTGGCTACTCGGAAAAATGGAAGGAAAAAAACCGCAGAAGCCTGCGCTTCTGCGCATTGGACTGCTCCAATGCGTGTGTCTGACTAGATTCCCACCATCCTTATTTCCACCGTGCACGATTATCTCCGAGTAGCGAGGATGAGATATACCACCAAAATTGGAAACAATGAAAATTTTAACGGTTAAATTTAGTCAAGAAAATCCAATAATACTAATTACTAATAGTCTTACCAAATTCCCCCTCTCCAAATTCCCAAACAACGGTGTTGTTCGGCCACTTAGTATTGGGCCACGTGTACGCGTTACGCCCCATTGCGTACTGCCTGAGTAGGATTTCAATCATGAAGTCGTCTAGGACAATATCTCCTTGGAATTTGCCGCTGTTCTCCTCAGGGTTGGCCAGAGGATTGGTCATGGTTCTCGCGGCGAACTGACTCCCATCGCCTATGGAAAGAACAGATTGCTTGAACAACTTTAAAATAACAAAACTTCCATAATACTCGTAATGGAATAAAAATAAATAATTAAGCAAAATTTCTTATTTTGAAACCGTTCACACCTTAAGACGGAAATAGTTTTTACCTATAAAACTCAGTATTGTAACCAAGAAAATTTCGATTATATGAAACGTCAGAAATTGAAAAGAATTACGTGAGAAAAACCGGAATTACGCGTAAATTTGACTATATAGCTGCGATTCGTGAATCTTAGCTTAGCTTACTTAGCTAGTAAACGAAGAAGCATTTTTAATACAATTTTTAACGTCCTAACTTCGAAATAAACAAATTGTGTAAAAAATTTAGTGTAAAGGGAAAGAAGTAGCGGTAAGTATAGGTACATTGCATTACGTATAATTTAATGCAATGTTAGCATTCCCGTTTATAAAAAATCGATTTTCTAAAGTGCTTTATTGATTCCATGTACACCATAAGCTGTATAAAATCTCACCGGATTTGATGCTTTCCAGGAAGCTTCTGAAAGCCTGTATTTCCTCTCTAGTCCTCACGACAGCGGGCGTGGCCAACGCGGAGCAGACGATAGTAACTAATACTGCAATACGCAACATCGTCCCTCAATATTGCAAATAAAACTTCGAGCACTACTTTTATATCATAGTCTATCGTGATATCTGTGATCGATAGAAATTGACAAGTCACTGATTGGATTCGGTTTATTACTTGTATTTAATTAACAATATTTAACGTACGTGAATTGCTAAAATTTTTTTGTTGTTCATGTGACGTAGCCGGTCAAAAGAGCTCACGAGCCTCGCGGTAGAAACAAGTGAGATGGTGATATGTAACCAAGTGACGGTATCTATTTTTTATTTTTCAGCCCACAGACGTCCACTGAAGAACATAGGCATCCCCCGAACCTCGCCACAACGATCGGTCTACGTTGCCTTATCCATATTTTTCCATACATTTATTCTTATCCATTTTTTTATGACTGAAAGATAATTGGTAGCCCGGAGGCCTTTCCAGTTTCACCAGGACAGGTGGGCGAGCAAAGGCTCAGCCAGGAGGAATGGGATTTGCTAACAACTGACCGAACGCCTCCGAAGGAAACCTAACAACAACTCAAGAGCAATTGCTTTGCGAATGAATCTACCGGATCGTAATCGCGACCCACTGAGAAGATCCGGCGAGAAACTTAGCGGACTGATGCATGGGTTAGGTTGCACGTCGACCTCTTTGTCGAGTTCGACGAGTACGGTTACCGGGGTTTCTAAGCCTACTCCCAGTGTTAGAGCTGAAGGCGTCTAATGCAAGGTTATTGGATCTGATGGATCCGCAAGGACGTGTAGCGGATTTCTGCGACCTACTCCAAGTCGTTGTTATGAAATTGGCTAATTTAATTTCACCACGTCACGAATACCAAAAAGATTCCCAAAAACAAAAGAATACTAAATGAACGTAATTTAAGATTGTCTTATCCTTTGGGCTACGACGACTTCATTTGTTCAGGAATAACTTTTATAATGACGGAGTAGCGTCGTGAACGGTACCAACAAATCATAATTACTGACAATGGGCCATTATGTAAGCGTGCATGGGTAGGTACTTGTGCCGCAAAGTAGGCATGGTAGTGACTGCCATTTCGAATGTATATGACGGAGTGACTGGGACCAAGTTGTTGTTACATATGATGACGTCAGCGACTGATGACGGAGGAACTGGTTTAAAATGATGACGTCAGCATTTCTTATTGTCATTGTCTTTCATAATGGTAGTAATTAAGACTCACTTTTCCAATGAATTCCATTTAGACTTTTTGGAGGGAACGCGAAGAGTGAAGTTGTGTGATTTGTTTTATTTTGTCTATTTAGTGTTTCTTCAGGTTCAAATGTGTAATAACGGAGGTTTATTAACTATTTAATATCTGTGAAAGTGCACAAATGTAGGGGAATGAAACAAAGCCGCTGAACGTAACTTCTCGGGATCCTCCAAAAAATTCACTCGAAAAGTCTCAGTAAATTACCACCATTTTACTGAGATTATCTTTCTTCCCATCCCATATCATCTCATCTCATTTCGATAGATTCCGCTGGTTCCGTAGTTTTTTTTAAAGATGATAACGTCAGCGTCGCTTACGTTATTCTTTACATCATTATCATTGCCTTTCATAGTGACAATAATTAAGACTCACTTTTTCAATGAATTCCATTTATAACATTTCAAGTGTACAGCGATAACAGATGACTCCGCTCGTTTGGTTGCCCAAGTCTGAATGTGTTGTGCGTTTATCTTTTTTTTCTTTTTTTTCCTACCTATGCTAATAGCCTTAAGAGGCTATTTCAGCTTCTATTTGACATGTAGGTGAGCTCACGGGGCTCACACCGGGAGTGTTGCTAACACTGGCTGTAGCAAGAGCAGTGCTTCGCGGAATCTACCACCGGATCGGAAACGCGACCCATTGAGAAGATCCGGCGAAAAACTCAGTGGGCTGTGTCTATGGGTGGACAATAGTCACTCGTATTTATAGTCGAAAGTAGGGGGTAGCTTAGTCATGAATTATCTTAAATACCGTCTTAAACAGTTGTTGAAATACGTAACGTCAAGGAAACAGTTAACTTTATCTGTTTTTAGTTTAAATAGTGATGTTGCGCCGACATACATATTCGCCATTGCGGTATGTCACTGAGTATGACAAGATTATTAAATAAAAGTGTTTGTTTATAAATCAAAATCAATTTATTTTCTTGCTCTCTATATATATATATATATATATATTTAAATATATATAAAATCTTTTCGTAACTCTACAAAATAGAAAATAAGAAAGAAATATCACTATAATACTTATTTTTAAAATAACAATCTATTGCTGAATACGATACTATGGACGTCATACCAAACTTTCGCTCCTTATAATTTTTAATATAAAAATTACTCGGGACCAATCAATCCTCCGTTTGCTTCAAGCACACCAATACACTTTACTGAATATAAAAAAAATGAACTATATTACTTATGCTATCTTAAATTATCAGTTCAGTAAAGTTTATGTCTATATTGCGATTGTGGAAAAAGAATACAATATTAACAAAAGAAAATTTAAAGAAGCCCTTTGCTTCAGAAAATAATCTATATAGTTATGTCTAATGTTGAAATTTTTTTATTCCAAACGTCATTTTGACATTTTTTAAAAGTCTCTGAAAAATATAAGAAAAGACTATTTTGAAGATTTATATAAAACATATATTTAAACTTTCTATTCTATTTCTATCGCACCATCCGCGCACATGTAGATGCCACAACATTTTCACAAAATGATTACTATATTAATAAATTGCATGTACAAAATAAGAAAAAAAAATCACATAAAAATCTCATTGTATTAGAATTTATTATAATAATTGTATAAAATGGATATCAAATATCGTGGCACATGGTTTCTGATACATATGTATATAATAACAACTAAACAAAACATTAGCTTACAGGTTTTACTGATACATAAAACTCTTTAAGCAATTTACTCATTTTTCTTTTTATTAAATTAAGTTGTATGTCTTGGCATAGACAAAAATGGCTGTTCTTTCTTATTAAGATTTTTAAAAAAGGCCATCAGTCAAAAAAAAATACCACTACCGTGCAAATATAATACGGAATTTAATAACAGTTAAAAAAATTGCTGAGATTTGCTATGAAAAACATAAATTGCAGCTGACAAAATTTCACTACATTATGAATGATTAATAAGTATGATAAATAAAATTTAAAAATACATCGAACGGTTAGCATGATAGGAAAACATTATTGGTTAATTCACGTTCCATAGTTTTATATAAAGTTTGGTAGGGTAAATCAGGGTAAAAGTAAACAACACTCGATATATTTTTACCATATTTATCCTGCAAAATTAAGTAACTACCTAAGCTTTCTGTAGGTAATTTAAAAAAGGCTTTTGGATATATTTATGTAATATCTATGAAGTGTCCTGTGTGTGATAAGCTTAGTTGAAATCCGAAAATGAAACCTTCATTGGCAAGAATATCAAACACTATATTTTATTCTGGAAAATTTCCGGAAAGTGCTGTTTACTTTTGAACCAATTAAAATTGAATAATGTGTTGTTTACAGTTCCCTTGCTACAAAAGCCGATTTGGTTTTTTTCTCAATGAGGATTGGCTATTTAATTTTATGTGCAGTTTTAGGGCTGAAAATAATCTTGTAACAGCCTGTGTATCTATGCTATTGAAGTACTTGTGCCCTTTTATAAAAATACCTACTTATTACATACATAAATTGCATTACAAAAATAATATATGACGAATGTCGTCTATCGAATGCTAATATTGCCTATAAAGTTCTTTATCAAAATTTCATATTGCATTGAACAGATAAAATTATTTTCTTCCTTTGCAAATATCATTTATAAGGAATATTATAAATTTTTCACGTTATACAAACTTTTTGATTGAATATATGTCAGCCCAATTCACCTATAAGCATCCAATCCGCACATTTATCAATCAAAACAAATAAAAAATTATTATATAATTCTAAACTTAAAAGGCTTAAATACAAAATATTATTGAACATAAAAATCAAGCTGAACTTTATTCATTCCTTATTAATTCCGTTTCTCCAGAATTTATCGTACTCAAAATGTTTTAAAATAACAATTATTGCAACAAAAATATTGTATTTTTGCTCATAGCAACATCCTTATAATACTTACGGCAGTGAACTACTGGTTTTGGAAATTGACTTCCAGTTTTTTTTTTAAATGCTTTTTATAACACGCGACTATATAGCATGAAGCGCAAATTTCCTTAGTGTCAAAAAACATTATAAAAACAAATAGCACAATTTTTAAGCATCCATAAAATAATAAATCTTTATGCTATTGCACAGACGATATGAAAAAAACGAGTGATCGGACGTCTGAACTAAATCAAGTCCACGCCAATAGTAGTTTTTTATAAAAACTGTTCCACAACTAAAACCTTAATTTTAGGGTTTAACCCCAACACTAAGTCCTACTAAGCTGCACAATTATAAACAATTTCTACTAAATTATTAAGTATCTAAATAAAATGGCAATGATTAAAAGTTTTAATGTTTAATAATTACAATAAATACATATGAATTATTCGCGAACGTCATTCAGTAAAACTGTTATTCATAATATACAAAAATACTTCTATTTTAATTACAATTTAAATGCAGAAGGCAAGAGTATAATTAATAATTTTTTTCTTACCATACACACCGCTGGGGTCGTATTAAGCTAGTTCCGATATTTATCACGACACAACGAATCAACATAATTCATTCGTTCAAACGTGTCTCACTTGAAATTCGTAAATATCATGCAAATGTGAAATTTAATCTATCCTGTTCTATGTTCAAGTTTGGCAATATGGCGCCAATTATTTTCAATAGAATCGTAAAAAAAATATATTTTATTAATATTCTTTCTCGAGACTGTGTCTGTTGTATCGGTAATTACCTGTATCATTTTATTCTTTGTGTTTATCTAATTGTTCCCTAGGCTATATTCATTACAAAAAATATACACGTATATTATAATAATATATTTCCATAAACGCTTCAAGGCAGTGTTATTTAAGTTATTATTCCTATAATGGCTATTCGAAAGTTTAATTTCATAATTCGTTTCTCAAAAAGATACCACGAGTTTCATATCTACGTGTGGTTTTTGTATGAAGAATCTTTTATTGAATTTCAATAAACATATTTGCTAATTCGTTTAGTTTTTCGCTTTTTAATATTCCTGTTAAAGTATTTTTTCGTTGTAAAAAACAGGAATTCGTTTGGAAATTATTTACTGAGCATCGTTGAGTCACGGCGCTTTTTCATTGATCAAAATCAGACACAAAATTTTGACTATAACTCTTAAATACATTTACTCAACTTGCAAGATGAATTTAGAGATTTCGATACAGATAGCGCAATAAGTGCAATTAAACGGAAAAAAAATTGGCACAAAATTATTTAATGTATATAGAAAAGTACGATGAGAAGTAAAATGGATTAGTTTTAACGCTAAACAAATATATTCGGAATGAAACACATCTGGTATTGGGATGATAGTTTTTGTTAAACGGAGCGTTGAGACCAGGGACTTAAGCAATTTGCGGTTTAAGCCGTTTAAGCTTATTGTTTATCTTGAAATGGAAAAAGCATTATGATAAGACGCAGATAGCACACAGTGAAATGAAACAGCAGAGAATAGAAATCTAGAATTTGTGTATGTAATTTTTTAGTTAAATTACATATTATTAAAGTCTATCGATTATTGTCTGATTTCGAAATTGATGAATTAGCACCATTACTAACATAAAACGCGCGCGGCGATATGATTTGCAGTCTTTTTGTTTAAGGCAATTATTACATTAATGTATTTTAAACTGAGTAAGTAAGTACTTGTCATGTCTTGAAGGTAAAAGACGAAAGTTATTTAGTATAATTTCTTAGGTATAATATGTCATTGTTATCGTTTATTTAATAAAACGTTGAGCAATCTCGTAGCGTAATTATCTTAAGGAGTATATTTTAGATTATTTCAGATACGAACAATATTGTTACTCTGAAATTAAAAATACACATTTTTAGCTTCAATAATGAGCTTCACCCCATAATATATATGTATATTTACAATATCGTTTTTTTTTTAATGCTAAAGCCAAACTCGAGTCTAAAGAATTACTTAATCTTATTTTACTTTCCCGCTTAAACAGCGTCACAGATAATGCACCACTTTTTTTTTTCAATAAAGGCGTAATCGAACACTTTCTCTGCAAGTAGGTTATCGTTTGCCTTTTAATTCTGTTTTTTTTTAATGGTCACCTCTCAGTAATTCCATAAGGAGGTTGAAGCTCTGTCCGTCGCCATCTTTATTCTTGTTGGCGGGATTTAACATTTCTTTACCGACTTGCATGAAGAACTGTAACAATTAAACGGATATTTAAAAAAAGGCTTTATAGGTACGGCCGAAAAAGTTTGTGCAGAGATTCGGGTACCACTTAAAAAATAAAATACTGTTATGACTGTATGTCCAATGGTACTAATTGGGTCATCAGACCGGCCGTCCCAAGTTCACTCCCATCCGGAAACTCCAAGCTACCTAGTGGGAGGAAACAGTGCAAGACCACAGGGAATGGCGTCTATCGAATCCAGTTTGGGTCACTGCACTAAGGCAGTAAGTAGTATTAGTACTGACTTTATGATCAAGGAATACTTCCACTTCCAAAAAAATCAAAGAACCAGGTTAATTGTTTTTATTATATTGTTACGCCGGTAAGAGTAACGCCATCTATCGCCGAATAGTCGAACGAATATCGAAGGACCTAGTCGCACCTAGAACGCTCGAGAAGTACAACACCATCTATTGTCAGATAGCGGGAACTACTACTAAAAATGTGTGGAATATTCTCGATAATTCCAGGGGTGAGGTATCTGCTATAAAAGCGTTGTAGAGATGGCACGCAGGCAGTCAGTAATCGGAACTACTCGAGGCGAAACAGCGAACGGATTACTTGAAGCGACGCGGAAGAAGCAAATTGAGAGTTTTAAACTGTTTGTTGTGTGTTTTAAGTGTTCTAAGTGTTGAATACAGTTTTAACTTGTAATTCGATAGAATTTTCGATAGAACTGTGAATATGGACATATTATATTATAACATACTGTAATACGAAAAGATCGTCACCTGACATGTTCTCTGCAGTTCCGGAATCCGGAGCAAGAGTTCACCAAACTTAGCGGGTGTTCCGGGCGAATGAGTCGCTATGTAAGCTTGCAGGGCTGCCAAAGCTTTCTCTTGCGAGGCTCGAACTTTTTCGGACTCGCGTAGCTCAGGCGCGTCTGTAAGATGTCGTTTGAACAATATTATAAAATTTAGTAGATAATTCGGGAGCAGTCCTCTATTTTGGCAAAATCCAATAAACACTAATTGTAAATTCAAACATAATGAATAGACTTTTGCTTGTTCGAAGTATAGCAGTAGATAAAGTACATAAAGCATTTCTTTTAAAAAAAAAACAATAATCCACAGCCCTATCGTTGGTTATATCAAGGTTGTCACGTTAAATGCGGTGATTCCGCAACTCACGCGACGCGATAATTCAAATCGACAAACTGGACAAAAATGGGCCTTAATGAATTTTCGGAACTAATTTCATCCTAGCAATATGAAAGTTTTTAATATAAACATTCTTACCTGAAGTCAATAGAACGATGACTTTAAGAGCAACGTATTCGTATCTGTCGACGCGTAGCCTCCTCAAGTGATCAGTAAAGCTCAGCATCCGTTCTATACACGGCGTCAAACCGAGTCTGGGAGAAGACATAGAATTTCTTAGGTATATTCTGGCAACTTTTGTTTCATTGCTAAGGTGAATGGACGAGCTCACGGCCCACCTGATGTTAAGTGGTCACCGGAGCCCACAGACATCTACAACACAAATGCCGCTACCAACCTTGAGATATGAGTTCTAAGGTCTCAGTATAGTTACAACGGCTGTCCCACCGTTCAAACCGAAGCGCATTACTGCTTCACGGTAGAAACAGGCAGGGTGGTGGTACCTACCCATGCGGACTCACAAGTCGTCCTACCACCAGTAAAAAACTTATCTAATATTGGACTGAGTGGACGGGGCCTCTGATATTTCCACTCACAAATACCTTAAATCAAGCCCTTGAACCCCTGAACCTTACTCAAAGACCTTTCGCGTGAATTTTGCAATTTAGTTGGGAGATACGACAAACTGTGTATACATCTACCAGTTATACAAGGTCTAAAAATTTTGAAGTCGAAAAGAAGATAGTATTCTTCCTTCGAATACGCGAAAACAGAATTCATTTGTTGATCTAAAATGCTGGTTCTATACAGAATGGAAAGCAGTCGACGTCGCCCAAAACACGTCATCTCGGATCCTCCCGATCCACTAACGGTGCTTTTAGGTACTTCAAGCACCGGTCACCGTTCTCGTCGAACCCGTCGCTTGCGACGAAGGGCTCGACTAGTAAATTAACTCTCAGACACAGCCCACTGAGTTTCTCGCCGGATCTTCTCAGTGGGTCGCGTTTCCGATCCGGCGGTAGATTCTGCGAAGCACGGCTCTTGCTAGGGTTCGTGTTAGCAACGTCATCAGGTTTGAGCCCCGTGAGCTCACCTACTAGCCACGGTTACGCTGAAATAGCCTCTCAAGGCTATCAGCTTAGGAAGGAAAAAAAAAAAACTGATTCTATAATTTACAATGTGATATAAAGTGTGTAAAAAGCCATCGCCATATCGTGGCTTGCGGTTTCCTTAGGCCCAATATAAGATGTTCTAAAATTAGGAGGTAGGCCGGTTATTTTACGCACTTGGCACTTTGATGTAGAGTGATGCCTCTACCGCCTCCGACTCTCACTTCGCCCGGGGTGCTGACACCGCGGTAGCAGCAAGAGAGCACAAGCAGCTCGCACCAACTGTTGATCAGCAGGCAGATTTGGTCGTCGATCTAAAAAATTAACGTACTCATCTTCAGTCACTTATATACTACTAACGAATCAAATAAAACTAAATGTAGAAATTAATATGTTTACATACAATTATATAATATTTTGATTACAATAAATCTATAGCCGAAATCACGACTTAAATTGTAATACATGGGCATGCCGTATGTGGTATATATTCAATATAAGTGTAGATATAGACAAATTCCAAAACTTCACCCTCTCGGTGGAAGAACTTCCCTGTGTCGTATTCCCCCAAACATATGTATAATGTATAAACAAAATATTTGTGTTATAATTTTATACTTCATAAGCTTTTAATAAGATTCCTCTCTTTTTTTTTAGGATGGAGTGATTACTGGTGGCTTTAGGGCCTTTTCAGTTTCACCAGGTACAGAGCAAACGCGGGCTCAGCCTGGAGGAACGAGGATTTAATAACAACTGCTCGAGCGCTTCCAAAGAAAACTTAACAATAATATATAAAAAAAAGCTCGGAGGCAGCAGCTTCGCGAATACATCTACTGCTGGAACGGAATCGCGAGCCGCTGAGAATATCAGTGTACTTAGTGCGAGTTCTCGATAACGTAAAAGTTAGCTCATATTTCTATGGAATGGGATCGTTTGCCTACGTTTGCCGAGTGCAATTACCAGGGTTCCTTACTGCTCCTAGTGCTAAAGCTGTAGCCGTCTAATAATTATTATTGTATCAGTGGATCGGTTGGACTTAGTAAATTGATACAACAGAAAACCTTGCGATGCAAGGACACCGAATCGACTCGATTTCTACTATAACGAATTGTGATTAATAAAAGTGGATGGGTACTGTGTTTACACAAATGTTTGACGCCACGTACCATCGGGCGTCTTTACGAGATACTCATTTTATTTCAACTTTCGTCCAAAGATGACGATATCGTCGAAAAAGAAATTAAAATATGTAGCTATATTTGCTATTATAACGGGTGCAATAGCAGGAGCGGTAATTTATTATGTGGTAACATTCGAGAGCTTTCCCCAAGTAAAAACTAAATTAGGAACAATTGTCGGTTTATACTCGAGCGACGGTAACTACAATATGTACATGGGTGTCCCTTACGCTATGGTTAATAAATCTAATCCGTTTGGGGTGAGTACATTTTAAGTGACTTTTTTAACTACATTGTGGTCTTTGACAGGCGAAGAAGCCGTCTTTAATATCGTTAAATTACTAATCTTTGTTTATTTTTAGAGCTTGCGTGTTCCTTTTATCTTTACTTGTTGCAGTCATGTGACTAGCACTGTTTTGTTTTGTTGCCTATAACATTCCATTTTTTTATTATTTCACAGGACTCTCAACCCTACCCGAAATTTATAGATTCGCTGAAAGCAGATAATGACTCTAGAATGTGCCCGCAAGTAGATCAATATAATAATACGATAATTGGTACTTTAGATTGTTTGAATTTGAACATTTATGTCCCAATTTCGGACAAGATCAGTAAAGAAGTCAAACTACCAGTATTAGTGTTTATACATGACAGTTGGTACGATTTCGGATCTAGCGGAAGACATGTTTATGGTCCGAAATATTTGATGAAGCATGAAATTATTTTGGTGACGATTAATTTCCGCCTAGGGCCTTATGGGTTCTTGTGTGTAGACACACCAGAAGTATCCGGTAACCAAGGGCTTAAAGATCAAATTCTAGCTTTACGTTGGGTTAAAGAAAATATCGATGCTTTTGGTGGAGACCCTGAAAAAGTTACACTGGCTGGCATCGGCACAGGAGGCGAAAATGTCCTCATGCATGTACTTTATGGCAACAAAGATTTATTCAGTAAGGTCATAATAGACAGTGGATTGACACTTCCAACATTGGTGATGGCCGAAACAGATTCGACAATACCATTCCGATTGGCCCAAGATCTTGGTTTTATTGCGTACGACGTAAAAGAAGCAATTAATTTTTTAGCTACTCAAGATAGTCGTAGAGTTATACGATCATCATATAAATATGACTTTAGATATAAACCTTGCATTGAAAACAATGCCACTGGAGTGAACACATTCGCTACAAAACATATGTCGCAAATAAACAGAATTCGAGATATAAACAAAATAAAGTTTATGATTGGCCAAACTAATAATGAAAGACTATACAAATACTCAGATACTGTCTTCGATAGTTCTGAATATCGTAATATATTCGAGGATGAGTTATACGATTTGTTTAATTTTGAGGCTGATAAGTTGATGAGAATGGAAAAGTACGTGCGACATTTTTACATCGGTAACGAAGATATTACGGATGAAGTCAAACCAAATCTAATTCATTTCTTTAATGACTTGTATCACAATCATCCAACGAAAAGGACGATTAATAAATTTATTGAAAGCGGTGCGAACATTATTTATTACAGCATATTTTCTTACGTAGGAGAAAGAAATTACATGAGGAACTTTTACAGCATCAACGACACATACCCAAACGCAACGAGAGCTGACCAAATCGGGTATTTATTTGACGTGTCTTACATGAATAACAACGTGACCGAAAATGATCGACTTGTAATTGATCGTATGACCACTCTGTGGGCAAATTTTGTGAAATATGGGTATGTTGATAGTCATTTTAGTATTTTCTTTGTTTTTCATAGACATAGCTACAACTATTTTCAGGGTTTAATCTCGCGTTTTTTTACTGTCATTACATTCTCTGCGACGCTTCGAAGACTTTACAGCTTACGTGGTCTCGGATGACTAAGGTGTCATTCAAGGACTACACTATATTTAAGTGTAGAAATTGAATATTCTTCGTGTGCAGAAAAAGTGTAATTATTAATACAATAAAAAACCCAAAGTTAAACCGTTAAAGAAATTTTTTATAAAGTCTATTTTATATCGCAATTATACTTGTAATAAATACATCGAGTATTCTGTTAGTTTTCCTCATATCGTAAATGAAAAAAAAAACTAGGTTCACCCATTGGTTAGGTAATAAAAAAAAATTTGTTACAAAATTAGACAAATGCGTATTAAAGTGAGATTTAAAAGTTCTAATATTATTATTTTTCAGAAATCCAACTCCTGATATATCAGATATTCTACCAGTGAAATGGGAATCAGTTACTAACAAGTCCCTAGCGTATTACGACATCAACAAAAATGTTACGAGCGAAGTAAGACCGTACCACGACAGAATGGCGTTTTGGGATCTCTTCTACAAATCCAATGGAATATTACAGAGATCTATTAGGGTGAAATAAAGAAATATAATCATTTCATTCGTATGTTTTAAAGATAGAATTGTGTGTAAATAAGCAAGTCTTACATATAAAGTATATGTTAAAACAAAATTGTATAGTCCTCGAAGTACTTTTTCGAAAAGCGTGTTTCAATGTCTCTTTTATTTGATATTAAGTTGTTTTACACGTATCATGTTTGATTAGGATTTAAATATCTTCAAACACTGTACGAAATTTATATGAATTTGTTTTGTTTGCATATTATTGTTGTTGAGTACAGAGAAATGTCATTTTATTATTTTACTACCTGCTACCATTTTTACGGAGTTTAGTCAGTAGTTGTTTCGCTCAAAAGAGCCAATTTAGTCATCAACAATCATATGGCTTGGGAAAGATATTCGTTACTAGTAAGATTAAAGGAGAAAAGCCACGAGGATAAAATCAGATTCTTATCAATCGTGACACTCTTGACACAGTGGTCGTGATCGTCAGGTAGTGTTGGACGGGGCAGACTTGACGCAACTGACGATATCTCGCCATCACCCCTAAGGCCCCCTACTGCGCTCATTCAGGGAATCTCCTATTGTAGTTTGAATTTGGTCGATTTACCGCATTGGCGACCTCCAACACTACTCGCATGGTCTTGCACCGTCCACTTTTTCCTTTACGACGAGGCTCTCCACAGACCGGCCATCTCATGTCCGAAAAAGTGTACATCCGAGACTGTACTTATTACATACAGCCCCAAAAACATGGAGTCGTGCATGTAGCCGAAAATATACCTGCAAAGCTTAACATTGTCCGTGAGAAAGAGTTCCTTGGAGAGGATCACGTTCTATAACTAAACTAAATAATTCCTTACATAGCATTGAATACATTGCTTATCCAAAGCTAAGATTGGAACACAGTAATGTTTCTACAAAGACATGTCAATAAAAGGTACCATTTAGTTTGGAATCATAAAACGAGAACATTTCGGGGTATTTTTTTACGTGCCACCAATATTTTTACTACAGGAGAACTGCTAGTTTTTACTATTCTAACATATCTAATCTATACTAATATTATAAATCTATACTAATATTATAAAGAGGAAAGATTTGTTTGTTTGTTTGTTTCGAATAGGCTCCGAAACTACTGGACCGATTTGAAAAATTCTTTTTCCATTAGAAGCCGACATTGTCCCTGATGAACATAGGCTACTTTTTTTTATTTTTTATTTATTTATTTTTTTTGGTTTCATGTGTGTTTTAATGTTTCCGAAGCGAAGCGAGCGCGGGTCGCTAGTAATAATATTATAAAGAGGAAAGATTTGTTTGTTTGTTTCGAATAGGCTCCGAAACTACTGGACCGATTTGAAAAATTATTTTTCCATTAGAAGCCGACATTGTCCCTGATGAACATAGGCTACTTTTTTTTATTTTTATTTTTTTTATTTTTTTGGTTTCATGTGTGTTTTAATGTTTCCGAAGCGAAGCGAAGGCGGGTCGCTAGTATATAGATAATAGAATAAACATTATTGGATTGTACTATCCTCGAACGGAACGTAGTAACATATGTATATATATATATATATATATATATATATTTAATAACTTAAGTTTATTAAAATTAGCTTTCAATAACGGTATGTATGTAAATGTATTTTTAGAAGGTTTAGTTACTAAAATACATTGATTGTACTAAATTTTAGTAACTAAACTAACATGCAAAAGCACAGCGGGGAAATTCTTGTGCAACAAAAAAGGAGAAGAATTAATTCTAAAGTTTGATAGGGACAAAAAATTATTTCTGGAAATAAATTAGTGAACTGAATAATAGTGTTGTATGAATGTTAGTTTTGTCGTCTTAAGTAGTTTTGATGATAGAAAAATATATAGTACTGATAGGCTAACCAATAGGTTACATCTGCATGTATGTCTAGTAGACTCTCTATATCTTCCTCGTATCTGCCTTGTATCTTATCTCGTATATAAATATAAATAAATGTTGGCACGTATATGTGTATGCTCGTCTTCTATGCGTTCCTAAACCATTAAGTAGTCATTCAACTTCTCTCCTCGGTGTTTCCTGAGCGCTATAATAAGTATTTCTTCAAACAAGTTAGGCATTGGTTTAGCTGTACTTCTGACTTTGCTGACGTCCATGAGCGATAATAACAAATAACCATTAGTTTGTCCGTATGCTTGTCTACCTACAAGGGCAATAAAAAGATGAAGCGCGAGTGATTTCAAGAAATCTGTGACTTCATACAACTATCAACATTCGCAACAGAGCTGACCGAATTTCACTAGTTAGTGGGGAAAACAAAACAATGATTCCTTTAATGATGGACCACTATAGATTTAGGTATGCTTTGTTGTCACAGGTGTTTTTTTTTTTATTTCAGCTAAATTATAATTCGCTGTAAAATATGTATCATGTTTCATTTGTTACAATATCAGTACAGGGAAATGGTGTACGAAAGATTTACAGAATATTTTATTGTTTTATTAATTTTTGCATTATCTTTCACTAGTACTAGTGAAAGCATAATTGTTAAGAGTAAAGTTGGTCTTATAAGAGGACTGAGAGCGCTTGATGGAAACTATTCGATGTATCTTGGGATACCGTACGCCAGAGTCAACGAATCTAATCCGTTCGGGGTAAGCATGTCACTTACTATTATAAGTATTTAAAAATGGCTGGTAGGAGCAAATTAATAAAATTTTACTTTTCCACTTCATCAGGAGTCTCTAGCTTACCCTCATTTTGAAACGGAATTTGAAGCATTTAATGATACAGCAATTTGTCCACAACAAGAAGAGTTCAATTTAACTATAGTCGGGAATTTAGATTGTCTGCATTTGAATATTTATGTACCGGACGCTGTAGCAAAGGCAGCAAAACTACCAGTACTCGTGAACATTTTTGGAGGACAGGCTAGAATTGGTTTCGCGGGAAGATATATTTACGGGCCAAAATATTTGGTGGAGCATGACATAATTTTCATAACATTTAACTATAGAGTCGGACCCTATGGTTTTTTTTGTCTTTCCACACCGGAGGTTTCAGGCAATCAAGGCTATAAGGATCAGGTGAAAGCTTTAAGATGGATAAGAGACAATATTGAAGCATTTGGAGGAGATTCAAATAAAATAACTGTAAGTGGTCACAGCTCCGGAGCTACAAGTTTAGATTATATTGTGCATACTTTAAATGACGAAAACCTATTTGACAAAATAATTCTGCAAAGCGGTAATGCATATAGTGCTACAATAGAAATCCGTGAACCTGATGACGGTTTGCCGATTAAACTAGCAAATAAACTTGGCTATAACGCAAGCAGTCTAGACGATGCTCTACATTACCTCACAATCACCGATCCAAAATTAGTGATCAATGCATCTGTGAGTCTCGATCCACTTTACAGCACTTGTCTGGAAAATACATCAGACGACATTCAAAAGATTCCACCGGATTATCCAATCAATTTAAAATTGCCAATGATTACGAATTTGTCAATTTTGATTGGAAACACAAATGCAGAAACGATCTATTTTTTCGATCCTTTGTCGTCTGATGATATGAAGAAACTTGATCTTTTCAAACACCACCTGAATCTCGATCTTAAAGACGAGGTGTACATGAAAGAAATGGAAGATATCGTCTATCAATTTTATTTTGGAGAAACTGAACAATCTCTGTTAAGTAAAAATGAGGCAATGAAATTTTCAGCAGATTTTTACTATATTTATTCGTCCAAAATAACATTGAAAAAGTATTTAGAAGCCGGTGCTAAAAACGTGTATTATTTTATATTTTCGTACGACGGTGGTAGAAATTTTGTTAAATACAGAACTCACATATCTAGACCGGGCGCTAGTCATGCCGACGAACAAGGATATCTTTATGACATGTCTATATTTAACACTACTCTTTCCGAAAATGATGCACTCATGATTAAACGCATGACGACACTTTGGACAAATTTCGTCAAATACGGGTAAGGAATTACATAAATAAAATAAAAATAATATTAGTAGTATTTTAAATGAAAATTAAATTAGTGTTTGCTCTTTTTTTATTGCCCTTGTAGGCAGACGGGCATACGACCCATCTGAAGGTGAGTGGTTACCGTCACCCATGGACTTCAGGAATGCCAGAGGCAGAGCCAAGCCGCTGTCTACAGAGCCAAGCCACTACCTACCGCTGCCTTTGGGTAAGGCTGCAAACGTGTGCGGTTTCGTACCACCAACCAAGAGATTTCTGTTGTGATTGACGGAAAGGACGTTTTTGTTCGCCTTTCTTCGAGCGAAAGGATTTCGATAAAGATCAACAATGATGATAAACTGAATTCAATTACGATAAAAATGTTATTGTATACATACAATTTGGAGATATCAACATTATAGTAATTTTTAATATGTGGCCCCATAAACACAACCCAGATCTCCTGTAGGTCGGGATATGATGGTAGATTCTGCGAAGTAATGCTGTCGCTGGAGCTAGGATTCCAAGTTCCCTCAGGTTAAGTCCGTGAGCTCAACTAACCCCCTGCGCGCTGTTTGAATTGCCCCTTAAAGCTACCAGCGATCGCAATTTTGTCGTAATATTTATCCCATTAATGAGCATACTCTAATCTGCTACCAACACTTTACCTGAGTCGATAAGCATGACAATGCGAAAGCCGTCTTGATACATAATGTCCTAAGTATCAATTGTATTGTATGACCTCTACCGCGGCAGAAATAAGGATGGTCCATCCTACACGTGAAGACTATATATAATGAAAATTATATATAATTCTTGGGGCTCAAAAAGGGCTTAAATATGAGGAGGGGCCTCAGTGTTTCCCTACTATATACATTTGTACATAACCACAGTTCACTTGATCGATGTTTAAATATATATTAAACAATAAGCAGTGGGCCGGTTGGACCATCAGTATTTCAAATTTTCAGGAGCGACACAATGAACCGTTAATAGCTTCGAAAGTTCAGTATTAAAAACTAAAACATTGAAAACTGTAACAAAAATCTACGTAGCATAAGTAAGTACAATGATTTTTGAACCCACAGGAATCCAACACCCGCAACGACAGAGCTCTTACCCTTGCAATGGTTACCGTATCATCAGAGCACCGAGTTGTATATGAACATTGATCTGGAGATGAGCTTGAGAACGGGACCGTACTTTAGGAGAATGGCGTTTTGGGATTTATTCTTCGATATAAACGAAAAATTCATTAAGGGAGTGAAATGAGTGACTTCCAAAAATGTGATGAACTTAGTATACAAATTGACAGAGAGAGAAGAGACAAGAGAATTTGACAAGACTATATTCTCAACACTCGCGTTTTATTTTAGTATAACAACTATTTATTACGTGTGACTCGTTCACAATGTTATCGGAGATTTCATAATAACATTATCGATTTGTGGATTTCCAAAGTTAAATTCATCCGAATAAATGACTCACAAAATATATTATCTTAAACTGTTTACCCAGGTGATGTGACATTAAAATGTTTAATTAAACATGCGATTACAATTTATTACATAAATAACGGCCGGAATTTTTTGTTAGTTACAGTGAAATACGACCAGTATTATGTGTAAGTCAGAGTATTTTAAATATTTCTTAGTTTTCAACATTTAGATAAAAACGATATTCATTCGACATTTTCAAATAGATTTTTTTCGGTTTTCACGAGTCCCAAACATTATTAAATGTAATTCTACAACTAAACTCGAGCTTTTATTACCACTAGAGGTCCCGCAGTAGTCGAAATTCGACTATAATTAATTGGAATTGTAAGTTTATACAAGATTATGATTGTATTTTATACTTCTGTAATCACAAATTTCGCCAAGACTACACTATAAAAAATATTAACAAAGACAAACAATATTTAATCTATTCTCAATTTGACAACAGACGTCAAGAACAAAAGTTTGACAATAAATAGTATGCATGCGTGTATGCGTCAAATATATGGTATGTAGTGTGTGTAATGTTTTCTTTATTGATTTAATGTATCTTGTATGCATTATATAAAAAAAATATTAGCATTGTGAACTTTTTCTCTATATTCTCTATAAGTGTGGAAAATTTCATACTCCTCCGTCCGCGCAATTTTCGTAAAAAGGGATACAAAGTTTTTGCTTCACGTATTAATAAATAGATGACTACGAAAACTGTAAAGTATTCGACACATCGGAAATAATATGATATTAAGAAAGACGATAAGATAGTTTTAATCTATAATTACATAAAAATGAATTGCTGTTCGTTAGTCTCGCTAAAACTCGAGAACTGCTGGACCGATTTGGTTAATTTTGGTCTTGAATTATTTGTGGAATAGAAGTCCAGAGAAGATTTACAAGGTAGATAAACATGAAAATGGTCGGAATTAAACAAAAATAACAATTTTGCTTTTACTTTGATATGTAGTCCCCCCCCCCCCCATCGGACGGATTCCTTTTGTTTGTTTTAAGTTTATTTTATACAAAAGTTTAGGTCTTTTATTTATCGATTGAGGCACTACGTAGTCTGCCGGATCAGCTAGTCTTTAATATTATTATATCTTCTGTGCGTGTGTTCATCACTGAACTCCTCCTAAACGGCTGGACCGATTTGAATGTTTTTTTTTTTGTATGCATTTGGGTGGCGCCCTGAATCGTTTAGATTCACAAATCAGCCCGGCAGATGGCGCTGCATTTAGTATATAGGTTATTTATCTTTCCTAGAAATAATTTATATGGCAAAACAACGTTTGCCGGGTCAGCTAGTTACATTATAAATTAATAAATTTGAAAGCGTTTTGTGGAAATAATTCAGCGAATTTGACCCACCGAGCGTCCCGTATTACCAGAATCCACAGACCTCACCCACGAGACATGAGGCCGATCTCTCAATGACTCACAGTATATAGGTACCTACTATCCCATGTAATCAAACTGATAAGCAGGAGTACTTCTCAGCTGAAAGAGTACAGAGTACATTATCGGGTATCACGGACTCAAAACTCACCGAAATGTTCTTGAAAAGCGGTAAACTCTTGCACCATTTCACGATTTTGTATAATCTGTGGTCGGCTATGTTGCATAGGTCGGCTAAAAAGTCCGGGTTCGAGTTCTGCGCGGTGATGCCGCTCGCCGCGAGTAGGGGGTTCGCGGAGGGGCTCCCCGGCGAACTACCCAGCCGGTTCAGCTCAGATTCATTGTACTGCCACAAGTGTTCCACGTCCATTATTTCCTGTGAACAAACAGGTTTATAATTAAAGACATGAGTGGATAAAGAGGTTAAGTACTATTTTTAAGATTTTTGAGTTTTTACATTGAACTAGTGGTCCCCCGGTAGTCGAAATTCGACTATAATTAATTTAAATTATAAGTTTTTACACTATAATGATTATATTGTCGAAGACTATTATACTTCTATAATCATAGATTTCGCCAAGACTATGTACACTTTAGACAAAATTAAATATTAAATAAAGAATATTAAATAAATAAAATATTAAAAAAAGCTGTAAGAATCATCTCCAAACTAATTTATTTTATTTTTCAATTATTATTATTATTATTATTATTATTTTTTAATTTTAGCCATTCTTAACTATAATACTAAATTGTGTATTTTCATGTGTATTTATATATTATTACTTTACATGTATATTATATTGTGTGTAATTATTTGTATGTATGTATTATACTATTTTATACATAGGTATATTAAATTGTAGTATGTATGTATTGTAGTATGTAGTAGTATTTATTTATGCATACAAAGTCATATGTAATCTATATAAGTACCTATATTTAATATTATGTGTATTCTATAATACTGAGATGTTTTTTGTTTGTTTTGTTGTTGTTGTTGTTGGTTATTCTTTTGGCAATGCACCTACCATGCATTATCTCTGCACCACCCTATGGTCGACTGGCAGAGAATGCCCATGGCATTAAGTCCGCCTGTGTACAAGTTTTGTTTTGTGCATAAAGTATAAAATAAATAATAAATAAATAATAAATAAAGGCAACCAATTCTTAATTTGACCACAGACTATAAGCAATAAGAAAAGTTTGACAATAAACAAATAGTATGCATGCTTGTGTGTCAAATACATGGTAGTGTGTGTAATGTTTTCATTCATGGATTTAATGTATTTTTAAGCATAAATTAAAAATATATTAACAATCTGCACTCCTTCTCTATATTCTCTAGAAGTCTGAGAAATTTTATACTCCTCCGTTCGCGCAATTTTCGTAAAAAGGGGTACAAAGTTTTTGCTTCACGTATTAATATATAGATGAAGGTGTTATGTGCCTATAAACCATATTAGCCATTAAAACTCCGGGTTTAAAGGCTATTTTTAAAAATTGTATGTGATGAAGGCGTTATTTTCAAAGAAAAAGTACAAGTAAGAAAATTTTGTTGCCCGTTTTCTCAAAATTAATAGATTGTATCATATCCCCTTCATCCACTCATGTCTTCAATTGTTATTGAGGTTCTGTATGATTATGGAGGGTAAAAGTAAGGAGCATCTATCTATTACTGGTGGTAGGTACCACCACCCTGCCTATTTCTGCCGTGAAGCAGTGATGCGTTTCAGTTTGAAGGGTGGGGCAGCCGTTGTAACTATACTTGAGACCTTAGAACTTATATCTCAAGGTGGGTGGCGCATTTACGTTGTAGATGTCTATGGGCTCCAGTAATCACTTAACACCAGGTGGGCTGTGAGCTCGGCCACTCACCTAAGCAATAAAAAGAAGCATCATCTCACGGCTTAAAAAGTGTTCGCGGATAGGGAGCCAATTAAGATGACGCCATAGTAGCAAGTGGAAATATTTTAAAAATAGCGACATAAACTACCACACTTCAGGCTGTTTAAAACTGCTATACTCATGTGAATTTTATGTGTGAGTTAGGTCCGATGTGTATTAAAATATATATACTATATACACATGTCATCATCATCATTCATCATTAACCTGCCCTTCTCCCAGTTACCTGGGGTCGGCGCAACATGTTTTCTCCTTCCATACTCTTCTAGCATATACCATTTCTTCGCTCACTCCCCTCTTACCCATATCGTCTTTCACGCAATCCATCCATTTCTTCTTAGGTCCACCTCTTCCTCTATATCCTTCCATATTCATAGTTAACATTTTCTTACCAACCTCATTTACATCTCGTCTCATCACATGTCCATACCATCCCAAACACGCACTTCTCAGCTTCTCTGTCACAGGTGCACTTTCAGACTTCCTCTAACATATTCGTTCCGTATTCTATCCATTCTCGTTACTCCACACATCCATCGCAACATTCGCATCTCTGCTGCATGCAATCGCCTTTCATCCGCCACTTTAGTGGTCCAACAAGCTGATCCATACAAGACGGCAGGCCTTATTAAGGTCTTATTATCTTCCCTTTTAGGGGAAGAGGAATGTACTATATACACATGTATACACATCAAATAGAGATGGATGTATATATGTGCGTTTTTGTTTTACCTATGTTTAATATATTATATGTTTTTGTATTGTTGGTTTCCCAAATAAATCAATATCGTTTCCACTTCCTACACCAGCGATATTTCGGTGAGTCTTCCACCAATAACTTACTGTTTACAATGGACACTTTTTCATTTTGTCCCCTATACAAGATAGTGCCCCTTACCTCTAACCTCCACATAAATGATAAATCTACCGGATTATCGCAGCCCCTTGACAAGAAAGATAGAGTGCCGTCATCGCATAATGTGCTTTATGACGACACGCGATAGAGTTCATTATAATAAACCAAAGAAAAACATTAAAAATCAGTACATTACACTACGTATAATACTAGTAGTACTACGTTGATAGCTGATAGTTATCTATATATTAATACGTGAAGCAAAAACTTTGTATCCCTTTTTACGAAAATTGCGGGGACGGAGGAGTATGAAATTTTCCACACTTATAGATAATATAGAGAAGAAGTGCATAATGCTAATATTTTTTTAAATAATACATAAAAGATACATTAAATCAATAAAGAAAACATTACACACACTACAGACCATGTATTTGACGCACAAACGCATGCATACTATTTATTATCAAACTTTTGTTCTTGACGTCTGTTGTCAAATTGAGAATAGATTAAATATTGTTTGTCTTTGTTAATATTTTTCATAGTGTAGTCTCGACGAAATTTGTGATTATAGAAGTATAAAATACAATCATAATAGTGTACAAACTTACAATTCCAATTAATTATAGTCGAATTTCGACTACTGCGGGACCTCTAGTTTTTTATAAATGTATCTCCAATTGATTACATGGTTTATGCAGACATGTTTATAAGGACGATGTTTAAATACAAATATTGACTTCAATCGATTCGTCACGTAATTGAATATTGATAATTTCATAAACTTACCTGTAGTAAAGGTGGAATGTCGGGCGTCACTCGGCTGTTGCTGGACTCTCCTCGACTGTATGACCCGGGACCGTTGACCTGGGTGACGGAAATGAAAATTGAAAACCTTGATTTTACTCGGATTAGTACAACCCATCTTTTTTTTTGTTGCCTATGTAAGCAGACGAGCATACGGCCCACCTGATGGTGAGTAGTTAACGTCGCCCATGGACGTCAGCAATGCCAGGGGCAGAGCCAAGCCGCTGCCTACCGTTAGGTACTCTACACAAGTCTCGATTGAAAAAGGACATGTCATAGCGCTCGGGAAACGCCGCTGAGGGAACTGATTCCAAAGCCGGATAGTACGTGGCAGAAAAGATCTCTGGAAACGCACTGTGGATGAATACAGTAGCTTTTTTTTTTTAAATTGCTTAGGTGGGTGGAGAGCTCACGGCCCGCCTGATGTTAAGTGGTTACCGGAGCCAATAAACATCTACAACGTAAATGCGCCACCCACCTTGAAATATAAGTTCTAAGGTCTCAGTATATTTACAACGGCTGCTCCACCCTTCAAACCGAAATACATTACTGATTTCCAGCAGAAATAGGCAGGGTGGTGGTACCTACCGGTGCGGACTTACAAGAGGTCCTGTTACTAGTAATTACGCAATATTTTTTTTCAGATTTGATTTTTATTACACGATTATTATTCCTTCACGGTGAAAGTCAATCGTGAACATTTATTAAGTACGCATTTCATTAGAAAAATTGGTACACGCCAGCGGGATTCGAACACCGTTGCATCGTTAGATACAAATGCCCGGACGTCTTATCCTTTAGGCCACGACGACTTCTGAAAATGACTAATTATTACGGACGGTACTGAGCTGTTGATACAACACTTACGCAGTTGAGGCTGGTGGCGTGCCTCAGCGTGGGGGACACGTGCGCGGACAGCAGCGAGCCCGTTGAGGCCGCGCCCGACAGCGGATACGAACACTGATACGTCGATCTTCCACCCCTCGTCCGATCCTCTCGTATCGCTAACAGAAAGAACAGTTTTATAACAACTGACAGACTCCAAAATAGTACTAGACTATACTATACTAATATATAAATCTACAGTCGTTTTTACGGATGTTCGGTTATAACTACTGAACCATGCATCCGATTGACTTGAAACTTGGTATCCATGTAGAAAATACATGTACTTAATGGATAGGCTAATATTATATGAATGTCGTTAATGATAAGAATCTTTGTGGGGGTGAGAAATACTAATGTTAATTTTAAATGCCCAGCGAAGTGGACGGGTACAGCTAGTATAATTGAGTCGTCTATTATCAAAGGCGGCAATCTGTACATTTGGACAAAAAATTTTTATTGATATGTCAATACAGATTTATTTGAATATAATCGTCTCCTTCAAAGAATACGGTTCAAAACCTGCATTAAATAAAGGTTAATAGTTAACCTGTTATTTATCTAAGATGTCGTTCCGCAGAGTTTTGTGACTGCCAATGGAATACAAAGTCAATAATTCGTTTTTCTGATTTACCAATCATTGTCCAAAAGTCAGATTGCCGGCTTTGATAATAGTCGACTCAATTATAACTTTAATTAATATAAAATAAAAAAATGGAAATACTATAAATTTATAATTGTTTAATGTTTATTTTTTTAAATAATTAAATTGAAATTAATATAAACAATTGTTTATAACAGTATTCATTCCCAAGATCGGGCGGCGTTGGAATCTCACCTTCCAACTTCATTCCGCAGCCGAGGCACTTGTCGAACCGGCACGCGGGACACTTCTTCCTGGTCGCGACGGTGACCGGACAGTTGCCGCCGCGCAGACACATGTAGTTCTTCCGGTTCTGTACGGTCCGCTTAAAGAAGCCCTTGCAGGATTCGCACGAGAAGATTCCGTAGTGGAAGCCGCTTATTTTGTCGCCGCAGATTGGGCACGGGCTGTATAGGATTAAACAATTGAATATATGAGCGGATGAAGGGGATATTTTGAGAAAATCAGGATAGAGACTATTCGTGACAGGGAAGATCGAGGGAAAGAGACCGCGCTGGCGCGGTCCGACAAGGTGGTTTGATCAAATCCGCACCACACTAGGGATCCCATTCCACGAAGCCCTTCATGCGGCCAATGATCGGAGGCGCTGGAGTGACATTGCAAAAAGTAAAATCCTGTCAAAATATGATAGACACGACCCTCAGCAGTGAGGAAACGACACGAGGAGGATTATTGCGAAGCACTGCTCTTGCTAGGGTCAGTGTTAGCAACACTCCGGTTTGAGCCCCGTGAGCTCACCTATTAGTTAAGGTTACGCTGATATAGCCTCTCAAGGCTATCAGCTTAGGCAGGAAAAAAAAGGAGGATTATTGCACTATCGTTTGTACTAATAATTAAGGTGACATTCGTCACGTACATCTTCGTCAATTAGTTGATGTTTCTGAATTGGTGATCGCTTTAATGGTACAACTAATTTAATACATAATTAAATAAAAGCGGGTAGGTGAAAATAAAAAAAATTATAACATACGAGATGACTTTTTGGCGGGAACGCGAGGAGTGAAGTTGTGTGATTTGTTTTATTTTGTCTATTTCGTGTTTCTTCAGGTTTAAATGTGTAATAACGGTGGTTTATTAACTGTTTAATATCTGTGAAAGTGCACAAATGTGGGAAAATGAAACAGAGCTGCTGGACTTACTTCTCGGGTTCTTCCAAAAAGTCCACTGAAAAAATCTCAGTAAATGACCACCATTTACTGCGATTATATTTCATCTCATATCATTCATTTAATTTCATTCCAGTTGATTAATGTCTCAAATTAATCATCTTCATTTCATTTCACTCTATAATATCATTTTTCATAAAAATATGAATATAAATTAAAATAAGACATGACTTAAAGGTCTCAGTTACCAGGTCATAAAATCCCTTAAAAAAAATATAACATATGATGTTTGCCTGCAACTTTATGTGCAGCGCGCATACAACCGTTAGGTATGCCTTTATAGACAATACTTTTCAATTACTGATCTAAGACTGACCTGTTAATCAGCTGTTGTCTGCTGATACCCTGGTGATGATGGAGTCTGTCGTCAGTCGGCTCGGTGTCGTCGTCGTGTGCGGGCGACAGAACACCGGCCGGTTCGCGATACATCACATGCGGATGTCGACCCTGTGCCAATAACATAAGATTCTATTTTAAATGTACAATGTGAAAAAAAAGATTTGACTGAAGATCTATTTAGCATCATAAAGAACTGTATGTTTTTAAAAGAACCGTTCGACGAAACTACAGTATTTTGATTTTATGCTAGACAGAGACAGGGATATAACAAGATATAACGTCAAAGTTTAAGTACGCCATGCAAATTCTAACTAAACAGTCGCTTTGCTACAGCGGGCGTATTTGAGTGAATAGAACAATGCTTTCAATCCTAACTGAGTTCGCGTGTTGCTGGGATATTTAAAAGCAGAATTCATAATTTACTTCGTTGGTAAGGCAGAACTATTTATTATTTATTTACTTATTAATTATTTATTTCATCATTTATTTAGAAATTCCACCCAAGTTATTATCAGGCGAGTGGCCATGTTTTTTAAGCTTCTCGCGATACTATTGTTGCCAGTGTCGAATTTATGAGTGGCCCCGTCATTTATATACTAGCGATGCCATTGTTGTCATTGTCGAATTTATGAATGGCAACGTCATTTATATACTAGCGATGCCATTGTTGTCATTGTCGAATTTATGAGTGGCCCCGTCATTTATATACTAGCGATGCCATTGTTGTCATTGTCGAATTTATGAGTGGCCACGTCATTTATATACTAGCGATGCCATTGTTGTCATTGTCGAATTTATGAGTGGCCNTCCGTTGCTAAACGTAGTTTAAACAAATGAGAAAGAATTCTACAATGACCGAATCTTAATCTATTAATGGTGGTAATGAATTGTCTGGAATTAGCTTCTTTAAATTTGTTATACCAAGGTACATGTGGCGGGGTATTCTGTATCTTTGTATACCATTTCCCTTTTTCTTTACTTATAGACCTCCAGTGTTCATACCACAGCGTTTTAACATTTTCCGATATTTTCTGCTGGAAGTCAGTAAACGGTACTTTTGTTACATTAGTGTGGTCTTCGTCACATGCACCTCGCACTGCACAGTCTACAGCTTCATTGCCAAAAATACCACAATGAGCAGGTACCCATTTAAATTGGACATTCTTTCCTCTTTCGTTTAAATTTGCCAATATTTCTTTTATTCTATAAATAATATAGTTCATATTAAATCTAAAAAGATCACTTTCTAGTGCTAACAATGAACTTTTGCTATCAGTTAAAATTAAAAAGTCAAACATTTATCATTTAAAAAGTGTTGCAAGACCTTATTTCAAACAGAGTGTATTAAATCGCTACGTTATCCTATATTGAGATGGACAATTACATACTCAGACAAACTTACAATATTTCTTTTGGTTTCCACAAGTCGTAAACAAAAGAGTTACTTGCGCGTTTAAATTTCATATTTTTTCCTGTCCATTTTCCATTATACTATTTCTAAACGAAGGAATCGTAAAAATGTTAGTCATCCGTGAGTGACTACAAAAACCGTATAGTTTTAGAAATGTTGCAAATAATGTATAATGACGACAAAAACGCGAGATTAAGCCATGAAAGTAGTTTTAATTATAAAAACGTGCAAGACAACAGCATTCTAACAACAATGTGGAGCGCATACTATAAATCGCTAAAACCTTTACTGGAGTATACTCAAATGAAAAATATTTGTCTGTTTGTGAATAAAAAGTTTTATTTTCTTAACTGATTATTTACAAATATCACAGTTTGATTATAATTTTCTCATGCAAAATATTCTTTCAATGTCAAGGTACGTTAAAACTTAAAAGGTAAGTGAAGCGGTTACTACTTTATTTACTAGATCAAGGCCAGTCATCAATCAAATTCTAGTCAGTTATTTATGACGCACTGAAACGTGGTTTTAATTTCAAGACCATGAACTAGCACCTACTTTTGCATTTCTAGAATAATAATAAACCCTGTGATCCAGCCTATATTCATTTACCTATGTCCATTATTATGGATTAATATATGACAAACATAATTATTACTTTCCACATATTTTACTCGATGCTTCAGTTAGATATATTTTTATCATTTATTTCAAAATATATTTGATTTTATTTAATTTATCTTTTCTTAATAAATTGAGAGGAAAAAAATCAAAATCCGATAGCATATTGTTTTCAAAGTAAGCTGTCTGACATACTCTTCGCTTAGATTTTTCACAACACATCCTATACTTACGTCGATTTGTTGTAAGTGATTTTCTCCATGGCACGTAAAGACACCGCGTCGTCTCGAAGAATATTCTGATTTATCAGAGAGATCTCGTACCGTACTCGGATAATGTTTACACAAGCAAACGAGCGTGGTGTATGAATAGTTATTGATTTCGGGAATACTTCATCCGTGACCTAAGTATGAGTGGAGAATTTCAAACGTTTTATTACTTGGATTTTTTAATGCATAGATGGGTACAAGTTAACAGCTCACCCTCAGTTCATTGCTAAATGGTTACGGAATCTTTAGACATCAGTGCGGGAACAAATGAGGTGGTGATTGTCTAGGTCGAAATCGTTGCACTTTGTCAGTAAAGTTTAGTCAGTAAATTGTAGACAATCGCGTTAATTAACATATATATCAAATGTCGCGTTAAATGAAATGGCGCAGTGTTAAATGGGCGTAGTTTTAAATGGGCAGTTCGAAAATATGTTTTGAATACTACAGTTTAAGTGGACATATTTCATTTGCAAAATAAATAAATAAAGAGCTTCATGTCGTAAAGTAACATGACAATAAATCTAAAAAGTAATTTAATTTAGTCCACTAATCGAACAGTCCTTGAAATTGCTAAATGTTGATATTTAAAATTACACAAATCTAAAAATGTTGTTATATCATCGAGTTCCGTTTCCTGAAAATAAAATAACAGGAATTCGAAATAACATTTCGGTCCCAGGTGGAAGCCGCCAATTACAGGTGCATCAGGTTTTCCACGTTTCGCCACATGTGACGTTTGGTTGATCTTTGTGGCCTCTCGTTTCCATCACGTCGGCTTTCATTGGAAAAATCTGCTCGATAAATTGAAGTCAGAAAATGTAACAGTAATTTCGAATTCATTCGGGTAGTTTTTTTCGATGCCTCCAATGAACAATACTCTAACTCAAAATTTTGAAATTTTCGTTTTTCACGCAAATCGCTTCACTATTATTAAAAGTATTACAAATCATTATTTATGGGGTTCGAAGCAAGAGCAAATCAGTTACACAAAAAAAAACTCATAAATATATCTGCAATAATAAAGATTTTATCAACTTTTTTCGTTGAAACGCTCCTCCTGCAAACCTACGAATTTGGAGTTAGCGTAGTGTTCATTGGAGGCATCGTTTTTAAATATATCAAACGATGCTTTAAATTTAAAAAGTTTGAAAAATGTCACGTTTTTTTATTTTTTTAAAAATAAAATAAAAATAAAAAATTCTTATTTTACAGATAATATTTTCCGAACTAATAATCACTATTATAATTAAGAGTAGTGCTTTTAGGTACCTCAAGCACTGGTCACCATTCTCGTCGAGCCTGTCGCTTTCGACGATGGATTCGGAGAGTAAACTAACTCATAGACTTAACCCACTGAATTTCCCTCCGGATCTTATTAGTGGGTCGCGTCTCCGAGTCGGTGGTAGATTCTGCGAAGCACTGCTCTTGCTAGAGCTAATGTTAGCAACGCCCCCAGGTTAGAGCCCCGAGAACGTTAGGTTACGCTGGTATAGCCTCTCAAAGCTACCAGCTTTGGTAGGAAAAAATAATAATAATAGTTAAGAATGCAATTGACAACTACATGTCTAATATATAAAATTCTCGTGTCACAGTTTTCGTTGCCATACTCCTCCGAAACGGCTTGACCGATTTTGATGAAATTTTTTGTGCTTATCCAGTATCTATGAGAATCGGCCAACATCTATTTTTCATTCCCCTAAATGTTAGGGGTAGTCCACCCCTAAATTTATTTTTTTATTTTTTAGACAAAATTTTTAATTTCTATTTTTTTATGATACAACATACAAAAATACATACAAACCTCAATTTTCACCCTTCTACGATCAACCCTTATTTTTTATTTGCTTATTAAAATCTAATTGTTTTTGCAAGAATTTTGTTTTTATTTTGTCATGACTTAGAATAAAAAAATTCATATTACTCTGAAATTTTCACCCCTCTACGATCAACCCCTATTTTTTATTTGTTAATAATAAATTTAAAATTTTTTGGCAAGATTCAATTTTTTATTTTGTCATGACTTATAATAAAAAAAATATATATTACTCTCAATTTTCACTCTTATACGATCAACCCCTATTTTTCCATCATCCCGATTTTTTTTTTTATTCTATGCACAGATCCGCAATAAGGTTGCAAGATGGCAATCAAATATTATAATTGTAGTACGATAAATTCTTATTAAAATTTTATAATTTCAATTTCCTTTAATTATGATTTTTTTTAAAATTCAATTTCATCTCCTGCCCTCGCCGGTCGACTACTGATCAACTATCAATCGATCCCCGCCAGGTGTCACCACTCATCCAGCAAACATCACGTAGTAGGGATGAGGACGAAGCCGGTCTCCTGTCTATTTGAGAGCTATACAATACTATACATTTTTCAACCATGTTTTTTTGGTTTTATTTGTGTATCAATAGTATCATTCTCGCTCACGACTCGGGCGTGCGCGGACGTGCTTTCCGATCCGTGGCCCGCTTGCGAGCTGCGTCTCTGAACTCACAGTTGTGCTCGACAGTGTAGTGACCGTGAATACATCGTGCTTACAATTCGGTAGTGCGGACGTTCCGATCCGTTGGTTGCTTGCGATCTGCGTCTCGGAGTCCATTTTTGTGCGCTAAAGTGTTGTAACCGCGAACCCACCNAGCGATGCCATTGTTGTCATTGTCGAATTTATGAGTGGCCCCGTCATTTATATACTAGCGATGCCATTGTTGTCATTGTCGAATTTATGAGTGGCCCCGTCATTTATATACTAGCGATGCCATTGTTGTCATTGTCGAATTTATGAGTGGCCCCGTCATTTATATACTAGCGATGCCATTGTTGTCATTGTCGAATTTATGAGTGGCCACGTCATTTAAATACCAGTGTGAGGCAATAGTGACGTCATCGAAAGCGTGATGCTATAATGTTTTTTGGGTGATTTAAACCGGTACCTGCACTGGAGATTGTGTGGGCGAGAACTCGGAGCTATAGGAGTAACAAGAAGAGTGCGATGCGTCGCTGTTGTTGCGGGAAAGAGACGGCGTGTAATGTCGAGACGCTCTCGGACTCGCTGAAGGACTGCTGTATACGCTGTTGATAAACATTAGGTATATCTAAGAGATCAGTCAATTGAATATAATAATGGTCGATCGGTTGATCGCCATCTCCTCGAGTCAATAATATTATTTTCAAAATTTTCGAGATAAATGTCGTATTTATATGAGTGTTTAGCTCCACTACTTTAAATACAGTTTAGTGGCGTACTCCGAATGTGTAGTACGATTTTCGTACATATAGGACAAATTGTCGTCAACTGTCAAATGAATATTTTGAAAGTTTTCGGGTGGAAAACGAAAGTCGAATTACTTTTTTCAATATATCGAACAAGAAAATTTAAACTAAATTACAATCCATCAACTCTCTCTTTCTCTCTCTCTCTTTTCTCTCGCTCTTTCTCTCTTTTTCTCTCTCTCTCTCTCTTTTTAACATCTATGTAATCATTTAGTGATGAACAATTATGTACTTACTTACTACATTTATAAAATAACCGTTCTATAAAAATAAAATATCTTTAATCCGAATGTGTATGACAACCTCTGTACTATTTTTTAAAGCAATCACTTAATAAATCATACAACATAAATGCTAACATATTTATAATTATATTCAATAAAAAATCATTGATGTTCAACTACGATTTTAATGTTCTATATCGGTATCAATGAAGTTTTTTTTATTGCTTAGATAGGTGGACGAGCTCACACGGCCCACCTGGTGTTGAGTGGTTACCGGAGCCCATAGACATCTACAACGTAAATGCCGCCACCCACCTTGAGACACGAGTTCTAAGGTGTCACTTTTAACAGTACAACGGCTGCCCCACCGTTCAAACCAAGGGTGGTGGTACCTTCCCGCGCGGACTCACAAGATGTCCTACCACCACTAATAGATAGATGCTCCTTACTTCTACCCTCCATAATCAAACAGAACCTCAATGACAATTGAAGACATGAGTGGATGAAGGGGATATGATACGATCTGTTAATTTCAAAAAAACAGGCAACAAACTTTTCTTACTTGTACTTTTTCTTCGTACATAACTCCTTCGTCACATGCAATTTCTAAAAATAGCCTTTAAATCCGGAGCCTTAAGGTCTAATATGGTTTGGCCCGACAAAAACTATTTTGAATTACGTCACTTCGCCCCCGATCTGCTTTGGATGGGGGAAAAATGTTCCAGTTGTTTGCAATTCAGACAAAAAAATGACGTCACTATTTATCTTACCTATGCGTATACATGGAATGCACAGCGGAGTCTGTACTTGCGCTGGACTGGACGCGAGGCAGCCGACCCAACAATGGAGATCCGTGAAGAGAGCCCATCAGCTTATCTATACCCACTGAGGGCTCGCATTTCAAATCTGAAAATTAATAACGATTTTATCTTAACATTAAAAAATTGAAGATCGTAGTACACGACCTATGGTATTAAATACAGGTAATCCTACCATAACACGATATTTTACAGCACGGTTCCACTCTAACACGAGAAGAAGTTTTTTGTTTAAAATTATTTAGAAAATTACATTAAGCACTACGAGCACACATTATATGGGAATGACCATATTTGAGACCTGGTGTTAAGTGGTTACTGGAGCCCATAGACATTTACAACGTAAACGTGCCACCCTCCTTGAGATATAAGTTCTAAGGACTCAGGTATAGTTACAACGGCTGCCCCACCCTTCAAAACAAAACGCATTACTGCGTCACGGCAGAAACAGGCAGGGTAGGTAGCCCGTGCGAACTCACAAGAGGTCCTACCACAAGTAATTACGCAAATTATAATTTTGCGGATTTAATTTTTATTACACGATGTTATTCCTTCTCCTGTCTGTTGTATTTGAGGAACAGAAGTCGTACCTGTTAGAATTTCCTTCTTGATGGTCAAATTCTGGACTTCCCCTATGGAAGTCTGCGCCATTACGGGCATTGTGCCCTGGTCGGACAGCGCTAGAGACTTGGCGCTGTTGGTCGGTGAAGACGGACGTCGTGCAAGCGAAAGAGACGCGTTGTCTGTCAGTACTGATATCTGTGGGGCGTAAAGGACTTTTGTTAATACAGGGTGTTTTTTTTGTTTATACGGGGTGTTTTTTTTATTATACAGGGTGGGTTTTTTTGTTGATTGCCCTTGTAGGCAGGTGAATGGTTACCGTCGCTTATGGACATCAGCAGTAGACAGAAGCACAACCAAGCCGTTGCCTGCCATTTCAGTTCATATCTCTTTTATTTATTTAACAAAATTAAAAATCAAGTCACGCAAAAAATGTATAATTTTGACGGGATTTAGGGGGTTGCTGACAGCTCCCTCACGGATCGCATAGCATCTATGTGTAGATAGGTAAAGACAAAAAAGTTTTTTTTTGCTGCCGAATTTATTAAACGATTTCAGTGCTATCAATAAATAAACAATGGAAAGAGTTATTTCCGACCTTGACATGAAAATTATGAAAATAAAATGAATCCGAATATTCCGCTGCAGTAGATACGGTCGAGCTGATATTCCTTAAGCGACAAGTATATTTATGATGCGCGATTCAGCGAGCAAATAATGTTTACCGTGTTTAAATGAGGGTAGTTTATTCTCGTTTCGATTTCGATTCTATTACTTTTATATAACCTAATAATAATTGTATTTTATTTTTTTTAAACATTACAGACATGAACTTCTTCATCCGTTCATACGTTTATCTTTCATGTGCACGAATCAAACGGGATTTAAATACGTTGATATTGATCGATGGGTATTTGTTCTACATATGTACCGTATATGTACCGGCCAAATAAACTAAGTTAAGCGCCTTATAAAACAACAAACACACATTACGTGCACGTGTACAAAACGTTTTCTACACGGAATATTACAGAAGGAGAACTTCTGTGCGAAGCACTTGTGAAAATTTGAAAACAAACTTTCGAACAACTAACTCCCTGTTTGGATTGGCTGTATTATTGAAAACCCTTGACCTAGTTGTAAACGGTGAAATTCGAATGTATTTTAGAAATCCGAGTAGAATTTAACGCTAATTAGTTAGAAGGGTTCCGTAAAGCTTCAAACGTGGGCGTGGAAAACTTCAACCGCTAATGCTGGAAACAATAGCAGTATTATTTATTCTCCAAATTCTATGTTTTTGCGTGATTTAAGTACAATTCACACTTTACCGTTTTGTGTTGGTGTGATTTTTTATACGTTTGTTCATCATAATGGTGATCACAGAAAATAAAGTATTTTTTCATAATAAAAATGCAGTGTGCTTAATGCGAATGCGAGTCCGTAGTGGCAAACGCAGGGGCGCTGTTCCAACCCCATACAAACTTAAGTTAAGTTAAGTTACGTGATAGAGAAGTTAAAAAACTCGCACTATGCACACAGAACCGTAAATGGTAATGTATAAAATGTATAATTTTTTTTATAAGATATTTAAGGCGGTAGCCATCATAGATAATTTGACAGATGTCTGAATGTCAGATGTTCAGAATCGCAAGAATATAATTTTGCGATAAAATTAGTAATTTTGAAGCCATTGAATGTTTTTTTTTGGACTAATAACGTGTTTATCAAAGCGTGTTAGAAGTACGAAAAACGTAGCCACTCAAGGAAAATTAGTATCGGACTAACACGAACAAAAGGGAGACAGACCAAGGGTGAGCTCCTATTAAAAACTCCTTTCCTATATTGATTCGATTGATTGGGTTCTCAATTTAATTTAAAACCATTATAATGAACTAAGCACAGCTTTTTATATTTATTAATTCAAGCCCGAAGTAATGTCTTCTCTCTATCTCTGTCGCACGACTTTAGTGACGAATTCCGGTGACGTCTTCACGGTATAAAAAAGTCAACAGAAAAACTTCCGTGGAGCGATTTTGTTACTGGTTAGAACGACAGTCCGAATGATATTGATAAATACATACATTTAAGCGTAACTTAAAAATATCGTTAGCGCGATTCAAATTTAATTTTCAAATACCTTGTTCTTGGTATAATTTCTTTTTTATTTTCTTTTTTATTGCTTAGATGGGTGGACGAGCTCACAGCCCACCTGGTGTTAAGTGGTTACTGTGGAGCCCGTAGACATCCACAAAGTAAATGCGCCACAAACCTTGAAATATAAGTTCTAAGGTCTCAAGTATAGTTACAACGGCTGCCGCACCCTTCAAACGGAAATGCATTACTGCTTCACGGCAGAAATAAGCAGGGTGGTGGTACCCACCCGCGGGGACTCACATGAGGTCCTACCACCAGTAATTACGCAAATTATAATTTTGCGGGTTTCATTTTTATTACACGATGTTATTCCTTCACCGTAGAAGTCAATCATGAACATTTGTTGAGTACGTATTTCATTACAAAAAATGCTACCCGCCTAAGATTCGAACACCGGTGCCTCGCTCAACACGAATGCATCGGACGTCTTATCCGTTAGGCCACGACGACTTCGGTTTCTAAACACTTACCCTATTCATACTGAGACTCCTCTGGTGGGGCTGCAGAGGTGCCGTATACTTGAGGTCCAACACGCGCTGGTCGTCGAGACTCTGGAAGCACTCGTTCTTCAGTGGTTCAGCCTTAATGGTCACGTTGCGGAGCGTATCGATGGAATCCCTTGACGATTGAAGGTCCAACGAATTGCTGTTCTCGTCTGTAATTTAATACACAAAATAGTAGTAAAAAGTATTGATACTAAATTCGATTGCACATTTAAAATTTTGACAATACACTAAAAGCTCCTTATTTGCGCTTTCTTAATTCGCGTTTTAAAAAATGCGACCCCCCACTTCCTACATTTACGGATTATTTCAGCTTATTTTCTTATTCGCGGATCTAATCGGTACATACACATTGATAAAAATGATTGATGATGTGATATCCAACCGAATATCCTTTGTAAACGCGTCGTCAAATGAATTAATAAAAAAGTTAAATAGGTCTTATTACAAGTTACTAAAGTACGTTTTTATTTGTCACCTAGGAACATAATATCCACTATAATCTCGTAAATGTATCTAAATTACCATTGCATATACGCGGTTTCTGTATTCGCGGCATATTCACGGAACATAATATAGCCCGCGAATAAAAAGCTCTTACTGTATACATAGATCTATGGTAACTGTTATATGATTTTAATTCTATCCCTGCACCACATTGTCTGTGTGAGATAATCGAACTGGCAAATATTTTTGCCAACTGATATTTTATTCGATTTTCGCGAGCCGAAACATTAAAAACAACTTTTACGGTTTAATCTCGTTTTATTACATTGCATTGTTTCCGAGCTTTAGAATACTTTAAAATTTTCTTGGTGACAGACGAATAGGGTGGTTGATATTCGTGGACATGTTAATATTCTGCTAACTACCGTCTTAAATTATTGTCTGTAAAAACATTAAAGGTCTTTCGCATTCTATGAAAGAATGAATGTACCTGTTAGCTCACATGATTTGGCTTGAATTGGCTTGGACGAACGAAATTTAAAAAGCGTCCGTTGGTACCTACCCGTGCGGGCTCACAAGACACCCTACTACCTTTTCATTTTATCTTTATACCTACCTAACCACTGGTAGACACGAGAAGCTATTCCAGTTCTCTGACGCGAATCTTGAAAATTTGCAGATAGATTTTTCTTATACGATGTTATTCCTTCATCGTGGAAATAATCCATGAAAGCTTGTGTTGAGTACGTGCATATTTTCTTAGAAAAAATACTAGGTACCGGCAAGATTTCAACACCAACATAGTTGAATCGCTTGATACGGGTAGACTGAGCGTCTTAATATAAAGGCCATGACGATTTACGATATTTTTATAATTTACTAGCGACCCGCCCTCGCTTCGCTTCGGAAACTGTAATTTATTATTGATTTCTCCACTATTTAATGAATGTTATTATACAGATAAACCTTCCTCTTCAATCACTCTATCTATTAAAAAAAACCGCATCAAAATCCGTTGCGTAGTTTTAAAGATTTAAGCATACATAGGGGTATAGGGACAGACAAAGCGACTTTGTTTTATACTATGTAGTGAAGAAAGTTTGGCGTTTATTATGTTTTCACCCGAAGTTGCCGATAATTTTTCTTCTACAAAAGCCATCCTCGAACGATGGTCGCATGTTAGGATTTGTTAAACGTTAGACATTAAAAGCTCTACTAAGAACGAGCGCTTTTGTTCTTCACGCAGTTTTATTAGGGAACCATGAAAATCCCTGCTCTTATTTCATTGTATATTGTACTAGCTTTTGCCCGCGACTTCGTCCGCTTGGAATAGTTCACAAATAATGCTTTGTTTTAGAACAAATTTGGTTAGTATTAAAAACGTTATAGTGAGCCAACCTTAACATATAGACATATGCTGTCGCGGACTTTTTTTTAGATCTTTTAAAGGGGAAGAATTCTGTTGTACATTATTTTAGCGAAACTTTAACCGTTTCTGCAGCGCACGCAGCGGAAACTCTCAAAAGGGGAAAAAACGAGTTTGAAACATTCTTTCGTGGTGTTATAATTATAGCCTATAGCATCCCTCAATAAATGAGCTAACTAACACTGAAATAATTTTTCAAATCGGACCAGTAGTTCCGGAGATTAGCGCGTTCAAACAAACAAACTCTTCAGCTTTATAATATTAAGAATAGATTGGATAACTGAATACTGACCATTATTGACGCTTGTATCGATGACCATCTCGGAGTCGGACAGCTCTCCCTCCCAGGACATGGGTCGCTCTCGATCGTGGAGACTGTCGCGTTGGGTCCCGCTCGACGAGCGCTGTTTCTTGCTTCGCATGTTCACCTAAAACATGAGTTTTCATGGCTCATTCTTTATCTGATATCGGAGGTTCCCATAGTTTTTTTAATTAATTGAATAAATGGTTGGACGAGCTCACGGTCCACCTGTTTAGTGGTTATTGGAGCCCATAGACATGTACAACGGAAATGCGCCACCCACTTTGAGTTATAAGTTCTAAGATCTCAGTATAGTTACAACGGCTGCCCCACCCTTCAGACCTAAACGCATTACTGCTTCACGAAATAGGCAGGGTGGTGGTGCCTACCCGTGCGGACTCACAATAGGTCCTACCACCAGTAAGACTGGATGGACAGTAAGACTCCGTCCGTTAAAATCGTTTAAACTGGACTTATTGTGTGTTAGATTACTAGGGTAGATACCGTCATGACGCTTTTTTCTGCTGCTAAGCATTTATCCGTTCCAGTTTAAGGGTGGACCATCCATCATGCCTCAAACTGGGTTGCTGCATTCACGTTGAAATGGCTATGGGTATTATCCATCGGTCATCGTTGACAGGACGTGCATCTCGATACATGACGACTAAACACCTCTTTAATATTAACAGATTTTATGAACTGCGAAATCATTTCAGTGGGGATAATCAGAGTCAATATTAATAGAGATGCAACACATACTTAGCTATCGAGAACAGAAAATTTGTAATCGGTAAACATACCTCGTATTGATGTTGAGTGAAATCGATTTTGGAGATTTCCGCATCAGTCGAGTCTTCGTCGTGTGGTTCCGAAGAGACGCTGATGCGTACTCCGCTCGAACTATACGAGAATGGGCCTGAAACAACATACATGTGACGTCATTCATTTTTCAGCGGACATTCATGGTCAAAATATGTGTATCAAGTTTTTAGTATGGGATGTATGAGTCATGTTCCCTTAGCCTATCTAATTTACAAAAATAAAAAACAAATTGTCTGTGGCCCACTACTACCGAAGCTAATACATAACTAAAATGTCCGCAATTATCTTTTTTGTCAAAAAAAATACTGATACAAATTTCTAGAATTCCGTGTAAATGAGCAATTTTAACATCGAACGCCGAATCCTTAACGTCAACTAACATATTATTATCGAGGATGGCAACATTACAGGAGACCCATATAATGTTAAAATTTGGAAAGAATACTATAACAAAAATCTTGTTCAGCATGTTAAAAAATTTGAATGGAGTAAGCTTAATTGAAAACCAATTAAAAATATCGAACTGTTGATGCTAATACCAAACAAAACAGACCTTTAATTACAAAGATTAATGCCGCGCATTAAGTGAAATGTCGTTTAAACCAAATAGCCTTTCACCCCTCGATATATATTTTAACAATAAAACCGTAGATTCCGTACCAGTTAGTAGGCGCATAAGTTGTGTAGTAATAGTCTCAACCAGTCTATGTAAATCTGGTTTAATAGTGCCGGTATAAGTAACGCCATCTATCGCCGATTAGTCGAACGAATATCGAAGGATATAGTAGCACCTAGAACGATCGGGAAGTACAACGCCATCTATTGTGAAATTGCGGAAAACAATACTAGAGATGTGTGGCATATTCTCGATAAATCTAGGGATGAGGTATCGGCTATAAAAGCGTTGTAGAGATGATGTTGTACTCGAAGCGAAACAGCGAACGGATCACCTGAAGCGAAGCGGAAGAAGCGAATTGAGCGTTTTAAAGTGTTTGTAAAGTGTTTAAATGTTCTAAGTGTTGAATACAGTGTTAACGTAATTCGGTAGAATTTTATTTATCCCGAACCCCAGCGCGTAACAATAGTCTAAGATTGAAGGCGCGAACACATCGTAATGGTGGCACATTATATATTTACCATAACATGCACTCTTTACTACATAGTATAAAATAAAGTCGCTTTCTCTGTCCCTATATCTGTCTCTATGTATGCTTAAATCTTTAAAACTACGCAACGGATTTTGATGCGGTTTTTTTTAATAGATAGAGTGATTGATGAAGAAGGTTTATATGTATAATAACATCCATTAAATAGTGGAGAAATCAATAATAAATTACAGTTTCCGAAGCGAAGCGAGGGCGGGTCGCTAGTTTATGTTTATTAAAGTAACTGTAAATACCTAAATATTTAAGTAGATGTGACCCGTGCTCCCGCAGTAATGGAAGTTCGTCGCCCCTTACGCTATCACCGCTTTTTTTTATTATAATTTTATTACGTGATGTGAATCATTATCTCCACAGCGCGTTCGTACTTACCGACGGAAATTTAGAAGTTTGTTGACTGCTTTAAAAGCGCACTTTTAACTTTGGTACGTATAATGAGCATGTTTTTTCGCTTTTACTAAATACAGAAGTGACTGCTCTATAGTATGTTAAGTAATATAAGAAAGCTAAGGAAAGGTAGATGGCAAACGTCCCAGACGACGCAGTCCCACGACATGGTCGGACCAAATACGATCTTCTCTAAGCATTAACTTCCACAATGCCCTCCATGAAGCTAAGGATCGCAGTAGATGGAGGGAAATCGTACGGGAGAAACTGATGCAGCGGGAGTCACGACCCTCAGTAATGAGGAAAACGACGCGAGGAGGAGGAAGTAATATAAACGCTTCCGTAGGTAAGTTGTGTGTTTGGTTTAATGAACATTAGGCGGACTGTAAATTACATCTGCTAATATCTAACATAGAAAATGACAATATTTTAAAAAAAATATCGCGCGATTACCTTAGTTCAACATGTACCTGAGAGATGGTTTTTCAGAACAACAAACAAAGATTTTCTGCGAACAGGTTGATTGTTTGTATTCTAGTATTTAATTAATCATGTTGATGATTGTACAGAATATATCGACGCTTGAAAGGCAAACGTGACTAAGCGACAATAACTGCTTTGTACATAAATGATAGGCAATAACCATATTCGATGCGCAAAAAAAATATATTTCTAGGTCTATTAAAATCATTTCAATCCTACAGCTACTAGCTAGATTCTACTACAGCTAGATTCGTTAAAATAAATATTGTTTTCAGGTATTTCAACTTTAAATTGGTCTACTGTAAAGTTCACGTATTGTCGCTTAGTCACGTTTGCCTTTCAAGCGGCGATATTCATTATTAAAAAAAGTTTTTGTTTACAACATCCTAATTGTCAAAATGAGAAAACATTATATAAACTACTAGCGACCCGCCCTCGCTTCGCTTCGGAAACTGTAATTTATTATTGATTTCTCCACTATTTAATGGATGTTATCTATCTATATATATAAAAATGAATTGCTGTTCGTTAGTCTCGCTAAAACTCGAGAACGGCTGGACCGATTTGGCTAATTTCGGTCTTGAATTATTTGTGGAAGTCCAGAGAAGGTTTAAAAGGTAGATAAATATGAAAAAGCTCGGCTTTAAATAAAAATAACAATTTTATTTTTCCTTTTTGTGTCCCCCGTCGGACGGATTCCTTTTGTTTGTTTTAAGTTTATTTTATACAATAGTTTAGGTCTTTTATTTTTCGATTGAGGCACTACGAAGTCTGCCGGGTCAACTAGTTATACATATAAACCTTCCTCTTCAATCACTCTATCTATTAAAAAAACCGCATCAAAATCCGTTGCGTAGTTTTAAAGATTTAAGCATACATAGGGACAGATATAGGGACAAAGAAAGCGACTTTGTTTTATACTATGTAGTGATGACGAGTGGGAACATCGCGTTGTCTCTCTCGCACGTAAATATTAATTTAGTGGTCATGCCCCAGGACGGATTTTTGTATGTATTTACTCTATCGTTTTATGACTTTTTATTTTATTTTATTGTTGTAATATTAATTATGTACCTAATTAACCTATTAAACACATTATAAAATAATGGCATTTTTCTCCAAGATTGATATTGTTATAGATCAAGAACTTGGGAGGGAGCTTAAATATTTAAATCAATGCTTAAATCGATCGATTTGCGGTGTTCAAGGGAAAAAAACAACGGAATATTTTCATACATTATTTATTACATTTTCACTGAAATCGCAACTTCATAACAATCGTATTGTATAATATGAATTCAGATTTTATATGGACACAATTTTTTTATTCTTTTTCTTCAAGCCGCACAAATATGAGAGAGAGGAAAACCATGGTTTGACCAGCCCTGAGTTAGATGAAGGATTACTACTAATTGACAGTATAGTTACAACGGCTACCCCACCCTTCAAACCGAAATGCATTGCTGCTTTACGGCAGAAATACGCGGGTTGGTGGTACCTACCCGTGCGGTACCTACCACCATCGAAATACAAAATGACTCCACTAATTTATGCATGAGCATTCGCCGATCTCCTAATTTGAACACGCACCGGCCAGTAATGCCCTGATCTGGGGAGGGGACATATTCTATAGAACAAAGTGTACGATAAAATAATTATTTCAAGTAACTGTTGCCTTGTCTTTGCAAGGCAGAATCATAAATTGCTCCAATGTATTGAGATTTCGAAATTCCACTTTTTTTATTGCCCATTTAAGCAGACAAGCATAGGGCCCGCCTGATGGTTAGTGGTTACCGTCGTTCATGTACATAATGTAATGGCAGGGGTAGAGCAAAGCCGCTGCCTACCGTTAAATAAATCTCCAAAAGCCTTGTTTGAGAAGGCGTGTAAGTTCCAATATGCCGTCTATCAAGCGGACCTCCTAAGGTCATCTAACCCAATAAAATAAATATTTTGCTTTTGATTTGACGTAGGCATAATTTACATTAATAACCGCAGTATCAAGGTCGTTTGTTTATGGTGGTCTTTCAATTAGATACGGCGATAAGCAATACGAGGTTCTAAAAATTCCGCTCGCTTGGAACCGTTTTTCAAACAACACTTATTGAGAACATCTTATTTTATTTTTAATTATGATAATCATAAATAGAGACGTAAGGGAGTGTTATAACCAGTACTCAAATGAGGTACCTTTTTTTATTGTTTAGGTGGGTGGACGAGCTCACAACCCACCTGGAGTTAAGTGGTTACTGGAGCCCATAGACGTCTACAACGTAAATGCGCCACCCACCTTGAGATATAAGTTCTAAGGTCTCAGTATAGTTACAGCGGCTACCCCACCCTTCAAACCGAAATGCATTACTGCTTTACGGTATCCTTAATGTAGACGACAAATGTTAAGATTAGTTCTAAGACCACTTGTTCTTATTAACGTACTGCACTTACCATTGCTGGTCTCCGGGCCGGGCATGCTGATAGTGGTGACAGAAACGTGCCCACCTTCCACCTTCACGGCGTTACCCTCACTGGACATCTCGGCATTAGCACATCACCACAAATCTATCGATATTTTAGTATCGATGTTCGCACTTCACTACTCTATAAGCACCATGCACGTGTTTTTTTTTTTTAATCGAAAAAGAATTCGTACAAAAATATTGTTCGAGTATGTTTTATTTAATTATTTATTGTCTTTTAGCATTGTATATTGTTATTATCTATATATTTCTTTTTTCATCTTGTGTTTTTAATTTTTAAGGCAGCTAGTTTTTTCAGTCTTTCGTGATCAAAGTCGTTTTCACATATTCCCAATTTTTTGGAGTAAAATTCCTCATAGCAACTCGTGATTAATAGTTTCTGGTTAGAAAACTCTTCATAGCCCAATGACGCCACCATCATCTTCGGGAGACCTGTCAACAATAAATACAGTTTGATTAAAACAAAACAGAAATTAATCTTCACTATTTCTTTAGTGTATTACAACAAATACGAATTTTAAATTAAAAAAGTATCTGAAATGCAATTGCACGAGTTGATAATATAATCGTTGTCCGTGAATCAAGAAAACATACATACGACAATGACAAAAGCTAAACAATTTCGATGCAAGGCTGAATTCGAATAAATTCCAAATCGGTCCGAACTCCGTAGCAATGTGTCGGCCTGTCTCATGTGTTTGTGTACACGCACGGTCGTCAGTCGCGTCGCGCGGCCTTGCGGCGTGACCAGTGCTGGGCGCACCGCTGCGATATTGTTATCGATACGCCGGCACGACCTCGGTGTCATTGGCATTCTGTTTACGAGGGCGAAGCTCGGTCACGATGACGACGTAATGCGCCATGAATGAATTGTCGTTTTCGTTAAATTTTAATCAATTCAATTATTTCGATTTTTAATTTTTGGAATTATCGTAATATCGTTATCGATACGTTACAATCACTAAGACGTTCGATTGAAGTGAGCGGGGGGAGACGCGTAGCGCGGCCTTCACTGAGCCGGTTGTGGCTAGCGACCGGTCGGTTGGTCGGCCGCGATCATTTCGCCTTTCGCGCGCCGTACTGGTCCGCCGTTCCCAATACGACCGGGCCACACGGCAACGCACTTTAATGAACATGTGAGCTGATGCACGCCGTTACACTATTGAGCAATCGACTTCTGAATCAGACTTTTGTTTAGTTGTAAATTCATTGAAAAATATTGAAACACGCCAAGCGTTTATTGTATTTTTATACACGTTACGTTTACACGGAAAATTTAGTTATTTTTATTTTTCTAACCTATACGTCAAAATTAATAAAAAGTAAACTACATACTTAAAATACTGCATTTTGGTATTTTTTTCCTCGTAAAACTAAACTAAGTATCTATTACTGTCTGTCTGCCAGATCAATTATTAGCGTTCAATATGTCTCTCTCTCTTCCCTTTGGACACGTCTCTACTGATTTAACTAAATGACAATTGACATTCAAACCTTGAAAAACTAGTTGTATGTTTACTTTTTAAAAAATGAGCAAGTTATATCGGATAATTACACTATTAGTTAAGGTGTTGCCAGATTAGTTTGATTGTTTTTAATTGGATTTTATTATTGGGCTTGCTGGTATGGACGAACTCAGAGTTCACCTATTGTTGAGTGGTTACTCAAAGAAATCACAAATTCATAACCAGCCACCCGCTTTGACTCACAAGATTGAAGTCTAAACTATGTTTAACTGCTACCACCTTTCAAACTGGAACGCGTGGCTGCTTCAAGGAAATAGGCAAGATGGCGGTAGCTGCGATGTGGCCCATGCACCAATGTTGATAGACTTTAGGCTAAATTAACGCGATTCTGACGTCTATGTTTCCGTCTACGTTGTCTGGTTCTATAATTAAATTCGGTTGCTACAACCAAATATCTCCTTTTTCTTTTTTCAAATGGCAAGGTCAACGTGCGGAAGCGAGACGGCAATAAATTTCGCGGCCTAATAAAGGAGTTCATCCGCACGCAAGATGGCGTCATCGTGGCCTAGACAAGGCCGAGCGGTCATTTGTACGATACGCCAGACGAAGCGCTTTGTCTAACATCTTATTTATTTAATAACTTCACAACTTTTCTTATTTAATTTGTATTTAGCGAATTACATTTTCGACCCATTGCTAATGCATAGGCACTAACTAGTCACTAAAAATACAGCCGCCCTGCTCTTTTTCTGCCGTGAAGCAGTAATGCGTTTCGGTTTGAAAGGTGGGGCAGCCGTGGTAACTATACTTGAGACCTTAGAACTTATATCTCAAGGTGGGTGGCGCATTTACGTCGTAGATGTCTATGGGCTCCAGTAACCACTTAACACCAAGTGGGCTGTAAGCTCGTCCACACATCTAAACAATAAAAAAAATAAAAATACGTTAATCGATATTTTTGTATTTATAGAGACTAAAAGAATTATTGATAGGCCTCCGACAAATTGTCTGAATGTATGCACTGAACGAGCTAGACTAACAAGGAAAATAAATTCATGATGCAACGCAAGTCTTAAAAGGAATTCACACTCAACTCCGCAGGCCTGTCGAAGCGATGTCCTTGCCTTGCATTCTTCTAAGTAAGTTATCGATAAGCTTGTGTGAGACGAGGCGTCGACCGATAATTATCTTAAGGTCACAGCACTATCTGCGTGACGTGAACAGTGCTATGCATTGTAACACTGATAAGTACCCATACACGGATACAGGTGCACGTTTATTTCAATAACAACAACGGTATTAATTTATCGTACGTAATTTAATGATAAAAAAAAAAATTCGCTCATTACAAACAATCATGAATGTTTTAATACTATTTATCATACGGATTCCGGCATTCGGCCAAGGCGAATGTTAACTATTAAATTATTACACGCAGAAAAAAAAAAACGGAGCAGACTTTAAATTAGATATATAACGTATGTTTTGTTTTCGCGTTTTATTCCGGACTGGCGACCCGCCCTCGCTCGTTATTGTCGTACCTCGGGTGAAGACGCGGGGCGAAGCTAGTCTAAAAAAAGTAGCCTTAGTTACTCCTTATATCATCAGCTACATATTAGTGAAAGTTTTATCAAAATCGGCCCAGCCGTTCCAGAGATTAGCCGGAACAAACAGACAGACAGACAGACAAAAATTGTAAAAAATGTTATTTTGGTGTATGTATCGTATATATATATTCATATGCATGTAGTAAAAAGAGGCTATTTCAATATTACAAACAGACACGCCAATTTTATTTATATGTATAGATTGTCAGTTATTATACGTTACATTTTGATAAAACAGCGATGTGTTAATTTCATCCTTGACCCCGACGGCTGACTATGAGGTCGTCCGTCTTGCAGAGGACGTCGCACCCTCTCACCCACACCGTAACCAAAATAGATGAGGTTAATACACCCTAGTAATCATTACGATTCCATAGAGTTCGAACAAAGAGCTCTGTTTCTGTTTGCGGAACGAATCACACAAATACTGAAAACCGTGTTTTGGACATTAAAAAAAAAAAAAACAAAAAAAAAAACAATACAGCTGACAGTTTCAACGAAATCGGACGTGAACCTCGATCGATGCAATTGTTTATAATTGTAAATTAATTTACGTAAATTATATTTTATTTTGTTTTTCGTATGATGCATTTGTATTTGACCACATTCATTTGAATTGAGTGTGTTTGTAAATTGGTACGCCCTTTAAAATAGACAAATGTGTCTTATACATGCAGACATGTCTATACGTAACACAATCTTCCTTCATTTTCACAATAGTTTTTTTTTCCTACCTAAGCTGATAGCGTAACCTTAGCTAGTAGGTGAGCTCACGGGGCTCAAACCGGAGTAATGCTAACACTGGCCCTAGCAAGAGCAGTGCTTCGCAAAATCTACCACCAGATCGGAAACGCGACCTACTGAGAAGATCCGGCGAGAAACTAATGCTCGCAATAGTCAAAACCTCCGATCAACTTAAAAATTTGCACACGTAACTAGCACCGATAAGCAAACATTCTTATTATCACTTCATTCTAATATTGACAGGGTAACCATTGATTACTAGTGGTAGGACGTTTTGTGAGTCCGCACGGGTGGGTACCACCGCCCTGCCTATTTCTGCCGTGAAGCAGTAATGCGTTTCAGTTTGAAGGGTGGAGCAGTCATTGCACTGTAATAACTGAGACCTTAGAACTTATATCTCTGGATTGTAGATGTATATGGGCTCTGGTGACCACTTAACACCAGGTGGGCGAGCTCGTCCACCAATCTAAGCAATAAAAATTAAAGGTTGACAGATAGGTATACATATTTAAATTTTCATTTCATATCTCTGTCAACGCGTGCGGTTTTAATTTTCAAACTATGTTTGTTATGTCTGTCTATGTTGGTTCAAGTTCAAATTCAAAATCATTTATTTCAACTTGGATGTCATCAAAAACACACTTGTTGAATGTCAAAATGTAAAATAAAATGTTAACTCTACCACCGGTTCCAGAAAAAGCCACAGTCCTGAGAAGAACCGGCGAAACAAACTCAGCGGGCTTTTTTTTTTGGATTTTCTCAAATATTTTTTATTTTTTTTTTAAATAAGAAAACATATTTACAGTATACGAAAAAACAAGTCAAAAAATACAATTCAAATAAATAATAATAATAATGAAAAATGAAAAGGCCAGGAGCGAACGCCTCACTAGTTTATCTAACTAGAATACATAAGAAGTAAATAAAAATTACATTCGAATTGATTCTAACATTATCGAGATTAGCGTGCACAATTGCACAAACATAGAACAATAGGTCTGTGTATTTCAAAGGATATAAAACCTTCTATAGTTTTAGCTTATTTAATCAAATTGGCTTCGAAAAGAAACATAATAATAGTTGTGTAAATAGAATTTTTTTTTTATTGAAACAACAATTTAATTAAGCCTTATTATTACTTTTAAATTTATTTATTAAATATATATATAGCCGACCCGGCAGACTTCGTAGTGCCTCAATCGATAAATAAAAGACCTAAACTTTTGTATAAAATAAACTTAAAACAAACAAAAGGAATCCGTCCGACGGGGGACACATCAAAGGAAAAACAAAATTGTTGTTTTTCTTTAATTCCGAGCATTTTCGTATTCATCTACCTTTTAAACCTTCTCTGGACTTGCACAAGTAATTCAAGACCAAATTTAGCCAAATCGGTCCAGCCGTTCTCGAATTTTAGCGAGACTAACGAACAGCAATTCATTTTTATATATAGAGAGATCATAACGTATTACATATTATTTTTGATGGTATTTATAAAAAGAAACAAACAAATTTTAGACCGAGTACATTATTCATGTTTGTTCTTATAACGAATTCTTTGGTTGTGTATATTTAAAGCACACATGCACACACATTAATAGCACACAGCCGAAGAGAAAAACAAACGATATATACAAACGTATCATTTAGAAAATTTCTCATCTGTGAAATAAGATTATTTTTACGTGACGGACGCGCGGTCCGCACCTGTCCAAATTAAAGCAGCAAATTAAAATCCTCGTAAAACAACGGCAGTGTTCCAGATCATTATTTTGAAGTAGATTTTAAATGTCGAATCGCCAAGTCAGTTTTACTGGTTGTAGGACTTTTTGTGAGTCCGCGCGGGTAGGTACCACCGCCCTGCCTGTTTCTGCCGTGAAGCAG